GCGATTTTATCGCCGATAAAATCGAGGATAATCGCGACTTTATCGGCGATAAAATCGCGATTTTTCCGTTGAAAAATGCTACTTGGGGATGCGGCACTTCACAGGAGCACACTCGGCTTTGACAAGCCGCCGTTTTATCGTTTATCTCTCTCCCACTCATTGATCGGATGCGGCAACCCGCAGCTCGTCAAAGGGACACGCACACACTCGCAAAAATACAGGCTGGGCCTCGGAATTTGGTCCGCGGTGGTAGTGGCGAGCCTGAATCCGGGTGCCCCGGAAAAGCACCGGAGTGCTTTCCGAACGTGAGCCCTGGAAAGAACGGCCGTAAACGAAGACTAAGGCTCAACTTGGATTGGTTTATACGCTGTTTTGTCCTTTCTCTCTCTCGCACTCATTGCTCAGATGCGGCACGTCAAAGGAGCATACTCGGCTTTGACAAGCCGCCGTTTTATCGTCTATCTCTCTCCCACTCATTGATCAGATGCGGCAACCCGCGGCTCGTCAAAGGGACACACACACACTCGCTAAAAGACAGGCTGGGCATCGTAATTTGGTCCGCGATGGTAGTGGCGAGCCCGAATCCGGGTGCCCCGGAAAAGCACCGGAGTGCTTTCCGACCATGAGCCCTGGAAAGAACGGCCGTAAACGGGGACTAAGGCTCAACTTGGATTGGTCCATACGCTGTTTTGTCCTTTCTTTCTCTCGCACTCATTGCTCAGATGCGGCACGTCACAGGAGCACACTCGGCTTTGACAAGCAGCCGTTCTATCGTTTATCTCTCTCCCACTCATTGATCGGATGCGGCAACCCGCAGCTCGTCAAAGGGACACGCACACACTCAAAAAAATACAGGCTGGGCCTCGTATTTTGGTCCGCGGTGGTAGTTGCGAGCCCGAATCCGGGTGCCCCGAAAAAACACCGGAGTCTCTCCGAACATGAGCCCTGGAAAGAACGGCCGTAGACGGGGACTATGGCTCAACTTGGATTGTTCCATATGCTGTTTTGTCCTTTCTCTCTCTCGCACTCATTGCTCAGATGCGGCACGTCAACGAAGCTTACTCGGCTTTGACAAGTCGCCGTTTTATCGTCTATCTCTCTCCCACTCATCGATCAGATGCGGCAACCCGCGGCTCGTCAAAGGGACACGCACGCACACTCGCAAAAAGACAGGCTGGGCCTCGGAATTTGGCCCGCGGTAGTACTGGCGAGCCCGAATCCGGGTGCCCCGGAAAAACATCGGAGTGCTTTCCGACCATGAGCCCTGGAAAGAACGGCCGTAAACGGGGACCAAGGCTCAACTTGGATTGGTCCATACGCTGTTTTGTCCTTTCTCTCTCTCGCACTCATTGCTCAGATGCGGCACGTCACAGGAGCACACTCGGCTTTGACAAGCCGCCGTTTTATCGTTTATCTCTCTCCCACTCATTGATCGGATGCGGCAACCCGCAGCTCGTCAAAGGGACACGCACACACTCGTAAAAATACAGGCTGGGCCTCGTAATTTGGTCCGCGGTGGTAGGGGCGAGCCCGAATCCGGGTGCCCCGGAAAAACATCGGAGTGCTTTCCGACCATGAGCCCTGGAAAGAACGGCCGTAGACGGGGACTAAGGCTCAACTTGGATTGGTCCATACGCCGTTTTGTCCTTTCTCTCTCTCGCACTCATTGCTCAGATGCGGCACGTCAAAGGAGCACACTCGGCTTTGACAAGCCGCCGTTTTATCGTCTTTCTCGCTCCCACTCATTGATCAGATGCGGCACGTCAAAGGAGCACACTCGGCTTTGACAAGCCGCCGTTTATCGTTTATCTCTCTCCCACTCATTAATCGGATGCGGCAACCCGGGGCTCGTCAAAGGGACACGCACACACTCGCAAAAAGACATGGCTGGGCCTCGTAATTTGGTCCGCGGTAGTAGTGTTGAGCCCGAATCCGGGTGCCTCGAAAAAACACCGGAGTGCTTTCCGACCATGAGCCCTGGAAAGAACGGCCGTAAACGGGGCCTAAGGCTCAACTTGGATTGGTCCATACGCTGTTTTGTCCTTTCTCTCTCTCGCACTCATTGCTCAGATGCGGCACGTCAAAGGAGCACACTCGGCTTTGACAAGCCGCCGTTTTATCGTCTATTTCTCTCCCACTCATTGATCAGATGCGGCAACCCGCGGCTCGTCAAAGGGACACACACACCCGATCAAACACGAAAACATTGTTAAATCGCCTTTCACCTTTAAGGATGTAAGATGTGCATAACCTCAATCTTGCTTGCTGATAACAGCCATCTTGTTTGTTTATTTACGGCCCTAAGAGCATCGTGTCAGCCTATTCGCTCGCGACCAATGAAAAACCGGAGCAGAAATGGCCATACTCCGTCTATAAAGGCACTCTACCTCTTTCCGTCTGATACACGCTTCATTATCGAGTTATTTTAAAGAATGTACTTTACCGTGTGAAGAAAATTCCACGTAAAATGCCAACTAAGAACCCATTTGCATGTATTTGCTTCAGCTTGAAAATTGGCGGGAAGCGTGTAAGTAGGAGGTGCCAAATTTTAAATGTAATAAAATTTTTCAGCTTGTGGAACGTCACTTTGGATCTACAATTATTGGATGCTCACGTCACATATTTTTATAAACACAAACACATTCAACATTCATCGCTTATCATATCATGGTACTTATCCTTCTAACTTTCTGTTTACATTGCGTATCGCCATAGAATAATAAGGCTACGCCTATAGAAAGGACACTCTCGCAGATTTCGTGACGAAGAAGAAGAACAGGGACCTGGAGCTCTTGAGCTGGAGCTGGCGGGTATTGTTTACATTCAGAAATGAAAATGGCGGCAATAGCCAACTGTAACACTCTAACTGTAGCTGATCACATGTGATTTTATCAGTCATCTGGCCAGCATGAGCACGACGAGGCTGTGGAAATCGTTTTCGTTACATTAATCTTGATACTCAAACTCTTTTACTCTGTGGCAGTGACTTTTACACTTACATAACATTAGACTCTTCTTTGGCACCACTGATTACATTTGGCAACCCTGCAATTAGCTGGGCCCTACTATTACATTTGACAACCTTGCAAAGAGCTGGCGGGTTCAGAAAAGTATAGGGCAACGGGACCTAACCAAACCTGGACACAACAGGCGAGAGTCACAACGGCCGCTTACGCGAGTGTTCCTTCTATAGGCGTTAGCTTTATTATTCTATGGTATCGCGCGCCCGTTATGAGTCAATCTGAAGATTTATTTGTGATTTTGTAAGCAATTTCGAATGTTACGGCCTTACTTCTCAGTCTCACCACTATTGGCTGTTGTGTTGGTCAGTATAAATGGTCGCATGCAGCGTTCCTCTCTGTAGCTGTCGCTCAAGTAGCACAGGTCGTCGCCAACACATTTTACAGCAGCAGTACGAAATCCATGCTGGACGGAAAATCAGTTTTCACTCGTAAGACCTAATTATCTCTCTTTAAAGCTTATTTAGTGACCTTCACAAGGAGAACAAAGTTGTCTTTGCACGGAACGAATCTTATAAACAATAAACAATAAGTTTCAGCCCTTTTGATGTACGAGCCAACTGGTCGAGGCCAAGCCCGGGGTGTGATTCAAGTGCAGGGATACCAGATTTTGTCCTCATCATGAGAGGAAAAAAACAATCCCTCTTCCTTGTTTTTACCATAGAGTAAAGACCATGGAGTGAAAATGTGACTGTGGAGATGAGACACTCTTCCCTCAGTTGGGCGCTAGATACTATTACCTGTAGGATGCTTGCATTGCTGTACCCTTTTCTTGGAAGTTCTACTAAACCACGTCAAATTTTTATTTCAAACATTATGATACCTCTAGATATTGTATAGAAATATAGGTTAGAGAGCGGGTAAAGTGAAACTCCTAAACTTTTAAATTTCTTGTCAAAAATACCATGAAATTTCCTCGAAGTAACACAGGTCAGATTTTACGTATGTGAAAAAGGTGACCTCTGGATATTCCAACCATGCCTTGGGAAAATCAGCTTGGCCAACCTCTTACTAATTTTCTAAACAGATCTTTGAAGGTTACCTTGAAAGAGATAGTTTTTCCCTGAAACAATTTGTTTTATATTTGGTTAACAAACAATGTGTCCTCGTTAGATATACGCAAGTATTCCCAGATTTAGAATCCTTGAATGAGAAGTGAAGAGCAGGCACAGATAATCATGATCTTGTGGCACTATATTATCAAAAGTGGGCCCTGTGTAAAGCTGCATCCGACTGCAGAGGCCTTCAAAGAACTTGAAACCAAAGAATTTGGTGATTGGTTCAGGTAGGAGCTGAGATATCCCCGGTTATTAAGACGCACTATCTCTAACTTGCCACTACACGGCAAAAAATCATAAGGCCTCCCTTCTCATCATTTAGCACTTAGGCATAAGTAGTTTTATTAGGTGCATAAGGGCCTGATTGAGAAACAATTAGGGCACCCTTCTCCTTGCCCTCATCGATCTATTCCATCTTGGCTAGGTACTTGATGCAATTTCATATTTAACCATTCTGGCAAGTGCTGCAAGGTTGCATTTCTAATCTTCACCTGAAAGGCACCAATTCTTAATCCAAGCGTGAAGAATATTTTGTGAAAATGTCAAGCATCAGTGTTGGTTTGTTCTCCTTGGATGAAATATAATGGAAGTAGGGATTTTGAAACACTGCAAACTAGGTACTCGTTCCTGCAGTTTTACTGTTGAGGCTGGCATGTGGTTCATGAAGAATTATTTTCCTGAAAGGAAAATGAGTATTTGAAAATGAAACCAGTTTTTTTGTACGCAAACCTGCAGGTGACACATTTACTAAAGACGTTAGATTATTTCTGTAATGTAAATCTCTCAAATTGAGCAGGAGCTGCATAATAGGTTCGGTACATATTTCTTTGTTATTAAATAATGTAATAAAAAGTCCTAGGAAATATACCAATCGAAGTGATTTTAAGTTGTCTATGGTCCTATAAGAAAATCTATCATTTTGTCCCCTATTTTTCTTTAAATAATATTCCATGGATGTGTCTTTTGGTCTTTCAGGTTTCCATCAGACAAAGAGCTTTGCAAAGCATGGTTAACTAAGCTAAAAATAAAAAACTTTGAGCCGAGCAAGAATAGTAGAGTGTGTTCTTTGCATTTTGAAAAAGATTCTTTCTTTGGCTTTCCAGCCACTCGCAATGTCCTGAAGCCAAACGCTGTTCCAAGTATTATCACTCCTCACTGGATCAAGATTGGGGTGAGCTCATCATTGTCTTAAGGAATTTCGTGCAATTTTAAATGTATGCATAGTTCATACTTAATCATGTTTTGTTATATTTAGAATGGGCCTGTTGCAAACTTTTGCTAGAGCAAAAATAAGAGTTGTTACTCATGGAAAGTGCCTCAAAAATTACGATGAGCGCATCAGCAAAATCTGAAATGCACTCCTTATTTCACAATTTGCATAAGAGTTTTGCGTTTTCTGAGCTTCCCACCTCATTAAGGATACCCCGGCACAGGTAAACATTTCGTCGGAGTCATTCCATCCAACCCCTGCTCACAAGGATACTATGCAATATTCAACATAGCCGATGCCAATCCGCCAAAACACATGTGATGGGACGATGATTTTAACCACCTGATAACAATCTGCGTGTTAACATTCACATTTTTCTTGCATTAAAAAATATCCGCCTTGATTGACCTTGTGTTCTCATCAACTTGCGCGCAAAAGCGTCGGCCATGTTGAGCAGGGATTGAATGGAACGACTTCTCTAATGAAATGTTCATCTGTGCTGTAGTATCCTTTCTGAAGCGGGAAGCTTAAAAAAACGCAAATTCCTTTTGCAGATTGTGAAGTTAGGAGTGCATTTCAGAGTTTGCTGATGCACTCATCAAGAATTTTTGAGACGGTATCTATTAGGGACAACTCTTATATTTGCTCCGGCAAAAGTTTGCAACAGGCCCTTTAAAATAAGTGGCAAAGCCCGATGTTTTGGGCTCTTGTTATAATGGCTCCTTAATCAACATATCCAGTGGTTAAACTTCTGCTACATATGAGCTTGCTAGAAGTTTTTCCAAATACTGAAGTGGCTTTGTCTCCTTGAGTTTGCTCAACTTATCGTAACTCTTGAGACCTTACCGGAGACGTTGCATCCTCCGGACAAATGGCAATCAAAATTGAGGTGACCTCTCCTCCCTTCGAAGATTATTTTGTCTGAAAAATTTGTTTGTTTTCAATTGCCACTATGTTATCTGAGCTCTCAAACACTGCCGTCCTCATGTCATTTGCAATCATAGGCAGTGACAGCAGAGGAGAAAAGTATGAGAAAAGGAAAGCACCTCATCAAGGCATTCTCTGAAGCCTTTAACATTTTTTATATATCGTTGAAAGCAGTTGACAATCTTTTTGATAAGCATTGAAAGACTCCAATTTTACTTAACTTACTTACTTTCACTCCTTGAGGTATAGGAGGAGTGTAAAGGAGCCTCAACATCCTGCTGTGGATCCTTGTGTGGTCCATCATAGAGTGTCTGAGTAAACGCCCCATTTGCGCAATTCAGGGAAACTCTGCATCCATGAGATATAAATGTCCTCGGTCCCAAGAAGACAAAAATTTTACAGGAGCTTTCATAACACCTCAAGAGGAGTAATTTTAACAATCCTAAGTAACAATTTAAAACAAACTTGGAATTTTCTAAATCGACTCATCAATTTTTATGAATGAAAGTTGATGATAAAAATGTTGTCAAAAGGCCAACTCTGGAAACACATCAGAAATTTGAACACTTGACTTAGTGATGAGTGAGATGAGTTGTCCTGCTATCAGTCTTTTGCCTCTTTTGCTTCTTTTTTTTCTCTTTTCCTAGTAACTTTCTTCCTCCAGCCTAAGCAGTATGATCGTGAGTAAAAATGAAGTTTCTCAACAATATCCTTACGGAAGTTTATTTGTTTATCATATTGTAATAATGGATCTATCTTTTTTAGCATGGAAGAAGTACCAGAGATGAAATGACGGATCTCAAGGTAAGTCTTTGTCTTTATCATCAATCTAAATCAGTTAAAATGATTTTCTGTGCCACACAGATGTTACAAGCATCCACTGATATGTATGATATGAAGGGTTCAAAAGTTAAGGAAAAGCCAGGAAATCTCAAAATATTAGAAAAGTCAAGGAATGTTTATCGGATTACTCCACAACCTAACCCAACTGTGTCTAGAACCCGACCAGTAGTAGCAGTGTGTGAAGATTAGATGTTTTGTCTACAATAATAATATTCCAATGCAAACTGCCTGAGCTGAACAGTTTCATACTGGTGCGCATTAGAGTTCAAAAAATTTATTTTTGACTCTAATTTTAATTTTTGGAATTTCTTGGCTTTCGACGGTGAAACTACCAAACCACGTATCTCGGTTTGCGACGTCGCAAACTTCCTGTCACACTTTATTTTTTAAATGAAAAACTACTTAACGTCCAGGCTTGAAAATTTCTGTGATTTTTCCTCTTCGTGCGGAGAAAATTCTGTGAAAATTTCAAGGAATGATATTGATTTTGTCTACTTCAAAAAAATAAAATGTGAGCGTAGATTTTTAAACACCGCAAACGAGATACGTGGTTTGGTAGTTTCACCGTCGCTTTGTTTCTCTGCGAAATGGTGTGGACCCAGCACCATTTCTTCACCATGTCTATAATACCTTTATTTTCTAACTTCACAAAAAATATCAAAGAGCACCAGACAGCAACACTTTGCAATCAATCTTAAGCAACAAATATAAAGAAAGTTTGCTTAACATAGGGTGATTCAACGGCAGTGCAACTAGACCCAGAACCTGACCCCCCTTGATTTGGCTCAAAATTGGTGCACAGTGTTTTAACTTCATTCTAAGTCAAGAAGACTGAAATAAATTAAAATAATTCAATTAATTCTCAAAATTTGGGCAAAGATTTTTTTTCTAATATCTTCTATACAAAGGGATAATGGATTGTTAGGGGGAAAATTATTTTTTCCTAGACTCTTGAAAATATCTTAAAACCTTTCTGGTGTAGCTAGTGACTTTACTTCACTGGAATTGAACTCCTCATTTTGTTTTTGAAGTCCTTGATTAGTTGACTGTTTGACATCTATTATCAATTTTATCCATTTACAAAACTTATTTGCTAATTTCTAAATCGTTTTTCCTGCAATTTTATCCCATGTCCTTATTTTATGTAGGTCTTTAACCATTTAATTTTCATACCTGGAAAAATATTTTGTCTGCAAAAACTAATATCCCAACTTTAAATAAAATTGAAAGAAGAAAAATAAAAAATTGGAGTGACTCATCGTGAAATCATTTTATAAACCTATGATAAATTATATTTAATCTCCTATTTTTTATCATTTCAGATGGATCTCTGCTTTTAAGGCCACTAACTCATCAATGGGGATCATTAAATGTGATTACTCAAAAGTATACCTGAAGGTATACGTTAGAAGTTACATGAATTATAATTAAGGTGTACATTAAAATTGAGCAAAATTATGGAAGACTGAACTTGCAGCTGGGCGACACATACCGGGGTTAGGAGGATTAGAATGAAATAAGCACCGCCTACTAAAATAAAATGGTGAATGCAGCAGGTTTTTTACGAGTGCCCTAAAGTTTTAGGATTTTAAAATCTTTACCTCATCACAGAATGGTTAAAAGTGTTTCTTCTGTTTTAACAGGCACAAGCAGACGTTTACTGTGCAGTTCGGGGTTGTAAGAATCTTAGATCAAAAATTGATGCTAAGAATAAAGTATCACTGAACAGTCATGGGAAACCAGTATCCTACTACCAGTAAGATCAGTATTTATTTTCAAATTTTTATCGAAATTTTCTCTTGTTTTATTGTGCCTGCTAGATCGGTGTAAGATCTGCATGTTGCTTCAACAGATCGAAAACATGAGCTTCACTTTCTTTTGACTATTAATGCTATCATATTTGTAACCCAGAGGTACAGAAAATGCCCTATTAAGCACTCAGGTGAGTGTGTGAAGATGTCCGAAGACCCCAAATTTGTGGATTTGCCTGAAAATGTGGAAAGTTGAACAAATTTACAATGTTCAAAAGCTACGCTTGTTTTTGTTCCAGTGGCAGTAGAAAAGTATAATATTAGCGCATTTCTATGAACAGTCTGAAAAACGTGATTTTCTGGAAATTTAAAATATTGAGGTACTTTTTGGGAAATTTCAGTTGAAGGAGTCTCATTTTTTTGTTCCCACTCCTGATGGATTGATCCATCACTTAAAAATTATGAAAGGCTACGCAGGTCTTCCTGCAATCCATATACAAGGCTTTGCTGCATTCTTTTTACCGAATGAAAGACATTTCAAAGGTAATGAAAAGATAATGCAAATAAAGTAGGATCCTTAAAAGTCTGTTTATGATTTTTCCCTTTTTTTTATTTTTCCCCTTTGTTGATTGCTCTCCCATTGGAAGCTTTTCTGAATTTTCAGGGTGCACCTTCATCTTTTAATCGTTCTATCATTTTTGGAACTTTTTCTCACCGTCCTGTTCTCCTTTTTTTACATTTTCACATTTTTGAGACCTTTTCACTGGATCGCAGATTTTTTTGTTGCAGATTTCCTGAAGACAAAGAGTTGAGACAGAAATGGATCACAGCAACTGGCCGAAATTTGACTCATTCCTCAATCCAGGCGAGAATGGCTGTTTGTTCGGCTCATTTTGATAAATCTTGTTTTGCAACTGTTGGCAAGGTGAAACTTCTTTCACAAGATGCAGTCCCAACCATTGATCTTCCAATAAGTAAGGTAAATAAGTTAGTTCAACTATTCTAGGAATAAGACTTTTATTGTTTTAGCTTGACTGCTCTAGCTATTAGAATTTTAATTTATGTATAAAAAATTAGTAATCAAGGAGGAGGAGGAAAGATTACCCCTAAACTTTGTCTGAATTGAAATACATTTTTAAATCAGCATACAGGGTAATAACTTCACTAGGTGCCAAAAACACATATAAATGAGTTGAATTAGGCCAGGGCTGCAGAAAGTTCTTAGCCTTCCCCAATTAATAATTTGCTGTTTTCCTAGAATTGTGCCTCTACATAAAACAGTGCGCTTAACAGGTGACATCCCCCAAAAGTAGCCCGCTTAAAAGACTCCAAGTGTATATAACAGCACGCTTAAAAGTTTTCTTCCCTAAAAGCAGCACGCTTAAAAGTATCTTTTCCCACAAGTAGGGTGCTTGAAAGACTTCCAGCAAATAAAACAACTTGCTTGATAGTTTCTTTCCCTAAAAGCAGCACGCTTGAAAAGCATCTAGCTTAAATAACAATAAGCTTCCCTGTTTTTTCCCCAAAAACTAGGGGGAAAAAGTCTTCCTCAATTGTTACAGATTTTTACAGCCTTCCCCAAATCTCCTGGGGTCATGATCGCATGAGCGACAACATTCTGCACCCCTGAATTAGGATAAGAAAAGATTACCTCACAACCATTGTTTCCCATAGTTAAAGGCATGAGAAAAATGATGAATGTTGAAATCTTTCAGAAAACTAGCTCTCCAGAGAAATAATAATTGCTTTTGCACCAGGTAATCAAAGTGCATTTGAATAGATCCCGCTCGTGAATCTGCCGTGTAATGTCTCATAAATAAGATGACAATATGTGGTAGCACTGAGCCTGAGACCCAGGGACAAGTAGAAACTCACTGCTATCCTCTTTGCAACAGTCGGGAACATTTACTTTCATGGATTCAGCATTTTCTGGAACTTGTTGGGCCAGGCTCAGAGATTAAAAAATAAACCCCTCACTCAAAAAATCCTATTAAAGGAAACAGATAATGAAGTGCGGTTCAATCAAACCACAGACACACTCAATAGATTTTAACATTTTTTTCTTTCTTTTTTCTTTTTTTAAACAGCTTTTTCACCAGGAAAAGGAAATACTTTCCCATCAAATTGAGTGTCACAGTAATGTTCAAAATCCAAGCATTACAAAAATAGTGCAGCAAGTCCAGGGCAAGACTCTAACTGGATCTACCCCTGTGAGTCATTCTAATGTGTCATCGCCTCCTGAAATTCTTGCGACAACTGGCTCCTTGAAGTCTCAAGCGCCCATCTTGTCAAAAACGAAGGACCTCTCACCATCACAGAACAATACTCCCATTAATTCTAAAGCACAGACAACTCCTATTAACATGATGATGCTACCAAAGCAACCTGAAGCCATGATGGTACAAAGGCAAGAATCCAACGTTGTGATAAAGAATGACTTGATGCAACCAGTCGTGTTTGTTAAAACTCCTAATAAAGTTAGTATTTTGTTCCCTTTCTGTTCCTACTATATGTAGTGCATGAAATTAGATGATGAATGGGTCACTAAACCATGAACGAATTTTGACTTGCGAATATAGTTTTCTGAAGGAAAATAACGCATAGAACACGATGCGCACATTAAAAACGCGAACAAGTAACTCAATAACCAAGAAATGCGCAGTTCAAATCGCTCAACTTATACGCAAATTTCAAACGCCCCCGTTTCGTGCCGCACCGAATGATGTCATCTGGCACCAATCAGAAGCGGGCACGGGTTTCCATGACGTCAGTCTAATGTCTATCTACTCTTCGTATATGAGAACAATACTAAAGCCGAAATTATATATTTTGAATTCAAAATTCGAATCTCATTCATATGTTAGCTGTAATAAACAAGCAACAATTCCAAATTGAATTACGTTTTATTTTAACAAACATCAGAGGAAAATGAGAGGAGACTGCGTTATGACTACCGCAGTGCATCAACACCATCAGTTTCCTGCCATTCGGGTGCGTTTGAAATGTCTTGCAGTTTTTAGATTTTTCAAAAGCGATTTCTCTGCGATTTTGGCTCCGTAAAAATGCGGAAAAATCACCACATTATCTACTCACATAGAACTTTCAGAATATTCAATAAAATAAACAAGGTTTAGTGACCCATTGTTATCACCGGTCAAAAGAAAAAATGAGGTGTCAAGGAGAAGAGCTAACTCTCATTGAAGAAAAGTTTGTATCCCTGGGGAGAGTTTGAGTATCGGGAATATCACCTACACACCCTCAGAAAGGTAACATAGAGCTGCTTTCTGCATGCGATCGCCAATTTTTGTTTTGTTTTTTTACACAAGATATCCCTTCAAGTCTTAAAAAATTGACAAAGAAAATTTCTCTGTACACTTGTGCATAGTTGCAGTCCATAGAATTGAAGCTTTTTTAACGCTCTCTCTGCTGTGGCAAATCGCTTTTTGATTTTTTAACTTTTCAAAAGTTATCAACGCGAACATATTTTAACTATAAAAATTCGCAATGCGCTTTTCAAAGGATGGTTAAAAAACATTGCCAGGTGCTGTAATAAAAGGTGACTTCCTGTTATTGATGTAAAGTACAAATTTTCAAATTCTTTTTTCCTTGGCTCTTCATTCCTTCTGTCATACAATGAGGTAGAGGGCCATATCCCCCCTTCTTTTGCAACTTGCATGTAAATAAATCTAATGATAATTTGAATCAATCCTAAAGAAGAACGTCAGGTAGTTTGTAGAGGGTGTGTCAAAAAACACTGAAATAAGGAATATCATTTTGCATTTTATTCATTTAAAATTGAGTTACTTATAGATCGTATTACTGGTCTCAATCTTGAAAGCAAAGTAAACACTAAATGAGTCGAAGAAAAGAGGCCCTCACTCTGCACTTCCCAACCAAAAATGAAAAGATAAAGTAAGATCTCGTTTTGATGCTTCGACAACAAAGCTCATCGCGTTCTTTCAGGAGGCCAGAATGACAATTGTGATCATTTTCCATAGAAAGCAGAATTTGGCCAAATTTTAAGAAACCGCCAAATAGACTCTTCTGGAAAGTTTGCTATGATAAGATAAGACCTTTTTGCAAATCCGGCCCTCCGTGTAATTGAGTCATGCAAAATTGGGTTTAAAAGTTAAGTTTTAAAAAATGAGATAGATTTACCACAGTTCAAAGGAATGAGTTTTGCATCATCTCAAGCAATGAATATCTAAGAATTGCCAAAATTGCCCCACTAGGAACGTTTCAAAGTTGTAAAAGAGACCAAGCGAAACGAACGGAGCAAAAGTTTTGAGGCATTTTCTCTGAAATAAATGTGACCCAGCATCCATGAAAAGAAAATTTCCCTAGAAAGAGAAAATTGTGAAAAATTTACCCTGAAATGGACCAGACTTTCTCTTAAATAATGTTTGTCTCATAAAGTAATTATCATTAATTCATAACTTCGCTCTTGTGCTGGCATCAGCTAACAGCTGATACTGTCCTACACAGTAAAGGCATGGTAGGCGCTGTTGACGGCTTCAGGCACAGTTCACCTCAAGCAATTTTTACTTTCCATGTAGTTTAAATAATGACTCAAATTTTTTACGCTGAGATTGTCTGCTATTGTCTGCTAGCTAAGTAATTTGAACTGGTTTCAAACTTTTATTGCACCAGTTATAATATACCTGTCCCCCACGATAGTATTTGAAATTCATGATAATTCTCTTCTCACAGGTGATGGTGGTGCCTGCTAAGTCAGTGGCACAGGAAAGACTTGCGCAAATGCCAAATGCATCCACTGTCCACGTGAAGCCTAATTCTTATATCAGCGTACAACCTCCAATCTCAACCGTCCCTGAAGTTCCAAGAGTGGTGCCTGAGCAAGCAGTGAAAAAAATTCCTGACTGCACCTGTCCCACGGATAAATTCTTTCGCGAAGGAGGCAAGCAAATAAGGATTCTCTCCGATCGAGAACACAAATTGCGCAGCAAAAATGCAACAAAAGCACGAATGCTCAAATCGCTTCTTTTAAGTCGTAACCGTTGTGATGAAAAAGCCCGTAGTTTAAAAAAAAAAACAAAAGAGTTACGGAATGCAATTGAGAAGTCAGAAAGAGGTGTTCCTTTAGAGCCAGCTACTGTGAAATTATTCAAAGAAATTTTGCAGCAACACTCGGAACCAATCAATCTTGATGGTCCATTAAGAAAACAGTATGGGAAGCAGATGAAAAAGTTTGCTTCAGAGCTGTTTACAGCATCACCGGAAGCTTATGTGTTTGTACGGGAGGCATTCAATAAACGTTTGCCCAGGTTAAGAACAGTCCGAGCATGGTGTTCAAAGGAACAGGCAGCGACTGAGTCAAATCAGTCGGAGACGGTAGACCAGAATGATTCAGATTTGGATGATGAAGGGACAGAGTGTATTGAATCGTCTGATGAAGAGGTAATAATATGACTCGCCTTTTTAAATTATTTTGCACATCGAACTTTCTAGTTTACTTTTTATTTATCCAGTATTTAATACCTTTTTTTGAACTGCTTTTCCTCCATTTTTCAAATGAATAGCAAATACCTTTCAAAGTTAAGGGAAACGAAAAGACTTCCAGTTGAGTTGAATTCCAAAGTTTAGCTTCCTGAAATGCAGTTTTTAATCTTGTATGCTTTTTATTTTTTTTTAAACCTATCAGTAATTCTTTCTTTTCTTTATTGCAGAAACATGGACATACAAGTGATTAGACAAGGTGGTAGAACAGTCCTGCGTCCACACTCTTCTGCCAGGAAATTGACACCAAAAAATTCCAAAATTTTCTATTAGAGTCAAATATAGTTTTGTCTAATGAGTATCAGTGCACGACTGAGGGGGGGCGAGGGTTGACCTCAGACAGATGCCTTTGAATACTGAGCTGATGTCACGTCTTTTTAGGAGGTCCTTTTAGACCTCATCATTAGATCACACTCGGCAGCGATCCCAGCTTAGCAGCCACCTGGCATTGATACATCGTCATGGATGTTTCACTATGAATCTCTTAGCGCGGTGTGACTCCAGCTTAGTATTCCAATGAAATTGCCTGAGCTGAACGCTCACTCCCCTCAGTCTTGTACTGATATACTCATTAGAGCTCGAATTTTTTACTCAAAACTTTTTGGAATTTTTTGGTATTTTTTGGTCTTGATTTTCTTGCAGAATAGTGTGGACCCAGGACTATTCTACTACCTTGTTGCTTACTGTCTGGGCCACACTTTCGGTGGATTTTTCCTTGAAAGTGAATAGATGCTCACAAATGTTTAAATGATGTAACATGCAATCTTGAATGAATTAAACTTCATCTTCTGCATGTTTTTTTTTTCTTCTTTAAGGTAGAGGAGTTACAAAAAAAAATCCGGGAAGAAACAAACGTTACCATTGAAGCAGAAACAGACCAAGAAGGAAATATACTCAATGATCCACCAGCTGAACTTGATGAGGAGATGTTCTCTGATCTTGATTCAGATTCAGACTTTGAGATGCCTTTTTCATCGTTGTGTGAGCAAGGACTTTTAACTCCCTTAGAACCCTCTAAAAAACAGTCAAAATTTCCAAGCAAGCCCTCTAATTCACCAGCAAGTGGTACACCAAACAATCAAACAAAAAAACAGGACATGCTTATCAAAATCAACCTATTAGAAAACCCCAAGCTAGGGCCAGGCGTTCGATTTGAAACGTTTGCCATTTAGTAAAAATTGCAATTTTTGCACTGTTAATAATTTGTCGTGTTGCACCGAAGAAACTTTCAATTGTAATTTGACAGTTGTATTGACAATTTTTGCGCTGGAATGGTGTCTGACTGCTCTGAAGTTTCTATTTTTAAAACTGAATCTTAACTGAAGTTTCACTACGGCAAGGTTTTCCTTGTTAGAATGAATTTTATAATAGAGACGTATCAACCAATTACATCACTCAGTCAAAACTAGCCTTATGTTGTAGTAAAGATAAGATAACTTAATTTTTTTGTTCTATTATTGGATTGCACTTAGCAGAAGGGAACCAGCGCGATTACAGTGTGGAGAAATTGTGCATCTTTGTCTGTCAAACTTCCCAGAATAACAAATAATTTTTGTTTCTCCACCAAAAATTACAATTTCTAAGGAAAATAATTTTGTAAATTTTATTTTTGTACATGTATTTAGTATTTTTTCAGGACCGTTTTGAAAAGACTGTAATTACGCTGGTTCCCTTCTGCTGAATGCGATTTGAGTCTCGCAAGTAATGGTTATGGTTCCCATCACCCATATTTTTTAGCTCCTATTTATTTTAATGCCCCACAACTGCGATGTAGAAAAAACTATCCTACTCCCTACAACCTCTAAGAGATTTGACGCTTCGTGAAAGATGAGAGTTTTCAGGGAAAAGGTGATTTTATTTTATTTTTACCTAAATACGCTCGAGCATTCAAGTTATTTAATTCTGAGAAATCCTAATCTTTACTCTGAGGAAAAATTGTAAAATATCTACTGTAAATATTGTAAACTTTGATGTTGATTCATTACAGATCTGTTATTTTTCAAGAATCTACTCACCAATTTTTCCTTCTTTTCATTCCCCTCCCATCATTATTAAAGCAACAAGTCAGCATTGATATTCAAAGAAACAGCAATGAATCCACACATGGCAGTTCCTGCAAAATTTTAATTTCACTCTTTCCGATCTAAGGCTCACATTTTCATGCTGAAAACGGTAAAAAACCTTCGTTTCCTACCATCTCTTGGCTCCCAGTTTAAGAATATATCTGTTAGCGTTAAAGTATGTAATCCGTTAATGTATACATTAACTAGTTAAAGTATACATTAACTGAAACGGCCAGTTAAAGTGTAGAATTTTTGTGGGTTGCACACTTTAACTAGTTATTCTATAGAATAACGGGCGGCTCACAGGTAAAGTGTGAAAGTCACAATTGAATCAAGTCAAATTATCAAAAACAAAAACAAACGGCTATTCATGATGCACGAACTGAATGTCCGTTATAAAAACATTACTCAAGCCCAAGTTAAGATTTTTTAGACTTTAGTGAAACTTGTCAGGTAAAAGAGAATGTCATGAAAAGGGGCATTGTTGTAAAACCTATAATTTTTCCCCACATAAATAGTCGCTGTCAACTAGATTTGATTGATTTGCAGTCGCAGCCCGATGGTGAATTCAAGTTTATTTTAAATTATCAAGACTATCTTTCGAAATTCGTCAGTTTGCGAGCTTTAAAGACAAAAACAGCAGATGAGGTTGCGTACAACTTGCTGTACATTTTCACGATTTTTGGAGCCCCAGCAGTATCACAGTCGGACAACGGCCGGGAAATTTGCAATTCAGTGATAGAGTGTCTGAGGGAAATGTGGGCTGAATTAAAAATTGTGCACGGTAAACCGAGACATAGTCAGGGTCAAGGGAGTGTAGAGAGGGCAAATCAAGACGTCGAGAATATGGTCTTTGCATGGTGTAAAGACAACGGAACAACGAAATGGAGTCAAGGTCTGAGATTTGTCCAATTTCAAAAAAACAGGGCCTTCCATTCGGGTATCAAAAGGAGCCCTTTTGAGGCGATGTTTGGATGTCCTCCGAAAGTGGGGCTCAAAGATTCCTCTTTTTTTATACTTTAACTGACACGTCCCAGTTAATCTATGAAATAACTAGTTAAAGTGTGTAATAAAAATTTAATTACACACTTTAACTGGCTGCTTCAGTTAATGTATACTTTAACTAGTTAATGTATACATTAACTGAATTACATACTTTAACGCTAACATAGGTATCTACTCAATAATATAAGATCATCAGAAGTAAAATTTTAAAAATTTTACTTCATTTTAAACGTGACCTAGTCTGGTACTTTTTAAATTTTTTAAATATAAGATCATCAGAGTTTTGTTAAGCACATAATACCTAAAGCGCTTTGCACTTCAGGAGGTTGAACCGCAAAGCAGTCAAGGGGCATTGTCCCGTAGTGCATTAGAAAAAAATGAAAACATTTGTCCAGTTTCTTCCATCTTGGTTTTATCAATTGGACGTATTTCTGTCAAACGGACCTAAGCGCCATAGGGTGAGGAAGGTAAAGGGGGCTTGGATTGGCGGCGGAACCGGACGTCAGGATCATTCGGTCCTATGCTCTCAATGCTTTTCCATGGCGCTTACTTCCGTTTGACAGAACGCGCTATCTGGCATTCTAAATTCCTCAAAAAGAACTTAAATTGGCGCTTCGTTCCATTTGACAGAAATATGTCCAATTAATGATACAAACATTTACACTGGTTGCTCCTTGTAAAACAGGCATGAAACCAAGGTAAAAGAAGCCACAGTATACACCAGGATACATGTGGATAACTTCATAAACGTTGTATTTTGAGAGACAATAACTCCATTAATATTGAACGGAGAACTTTGGTATTTGAGCGGATCTTTTTTTTGACCAACGATAAGCTTTTAACCATCAAAATACAATTCTGTGAATTGCTGAATATGTGGTTTTGTTGACATGATCCTTTGGCCCATAAAAATGGAGGGCTGTAGAATGATTAAGAAGAAAGAGAGGATTCTTTAGAAAAATGGAAGCTATTTTATGTACAAAACTTAGGATAATTTACATACTTACATAATTAGAGTCGAGGCTCAAATTAAATAACAAAAGAACAGAACACTAATTAGCACTTTATAAGTCAATAAATAGAACTAAAACAATATTTAGGAAACAATTGGAAGCTTGAAAATAAAGGCAATGATTCTTCCAGTTCAGAAAATCAAATTGTGAAATCTTAAAAAGGAACACCCCCTTCATTAAAAGGAAAAGGTTCTTAAAGGTAGTCTTCGTTGAATAACTCCTGAGATAATGACCTGACAAATTATCTTTTAATGAACTTCAAGAAAATGTTATGAACTTGGAAATATTGAGACAAAGACCAGACCAGAGTAGATCTATGACTGCTTTTTCGTACTTATTTCCCTAACATTTTCCAAGAGGTTCGACAGGCCAGCACCACATTTAAGCACAAAGTTTCTATGTTAAATGCAGGTGTCTTAGCGTTATACTGTTCACCGTGCCCTACTTTCACATCACCAGTAACGAGGCGCAAAAAGAAAATAAACATTGAAAAGAAACACTTTTATGATGAAGAAAATGTTTTGAAACTATGCTTCCAATGCAAGGCACTCAGTGTCATCATAATTTTCTAGTCTGGTCACTGACTGTAACCAAAAATACATACATAATAAATTTTGTCGACAGAAATTGGTCCAGCTTGATCAGCCTTAAAAAGGTGGCCTGGCTGCAACAATGAATCTGTTACAGATGGCCATGAAACTTTTCTGGGATAATTTCAGTTCAAACAAGGAATCCTTCAAGATTTTTCATCAATAATGGGCTGTGTGTCAAAATGTTGATTTTGAGTTATTCATATTTTTAATTCTGACATCTGCTGCAAAAAAAAAACCACTAAACTATTTTCTGGGCACTATATATGCGTTACCTACTCCACTGTTGACGGCACTATAGCCTGCTATGCAGAATTTTGTCCTTGGTTTCTGAACAAACCGCAACATCCAACTTAATTTTTGATTTTTAGCACCTGACCAGTTATTGATGATGAGTACATACTTAAGTAGATAAAAAAGTAAGTTTTCCTTCACTAGAACTACTTACTTCAGTTTAGAATCAATTTTGGATGCTTTTAAACAAAGGGAAGGCTGAAAAAGGTATTCCTAATAATTTGGTAAAAATTGTATTTGTGCTTAACTTGGCTGAGATACATCGATTTGTGCGTGATGTGAGCTGAAGATTTCCATCTGACTTAAAGAAATATTTTAGAGCATTCACCAGGACTAGAGTTCATTCTTTCAATAGTCAAAGGGTTGCCACAAACTTCAAACAAAACGCTCTTCATGTTGGTCCTTACTACTCCCAGCAATAACTTAGCCTCCAGATTTATTTATTCGGAAATCCCAACCAATTTGAACATCATCTTTTCTCTAACAGCATCTTTTAGTGCATCAGCGACATTGAGAAGGATTTCTGGGAAAAATTATTCATAGGGAGAATAAATTGGGGAGAATATTCATAAGTCATCAGAGGGATTACTGTGCAGGTCTACAAGAAAACCATGTTGATGAAAATTTGCTGTAAGACAAACCTTCATTTTTCAGCTTTGTCATGAAAATTGAACCCGAGTCCTGAAGCTAACTGAACCTTTTTCTCCAAGTTAGACGGAAATTTTCATAATGCGCATAAATTGACTTAGCTCAGCAAGTTTCATTTCAATGAAATTGCCATTATACCATAATAATCGCAAGGATTTCCATCATCTTCTTCTCTAAAAAGATTTAAAGTTGATAGGAAACTAGTAAAATTACGATATGAAATACTGAAGTAGGTATTTAAAATTGGTTTTACACTGAACTTTGATTCTGGCTCTTGGAAGAAACATCAAACTGCACAATTTTCCATGAGAAATGAATACAACTAAAATTTCTGCCGAGTAAAAAAACATACTTCTACTCACGTCTTAGCTCTGAAGGGGGCTGTTGGGTTTGGAAAATTTACAACATGGAAGGTTTTGCACGAATAATCAATAGATCTATTCTTAATGGAGAGGAAAAGTTGTTTAAAAATTGCCATGGTAGGGGAGGAAGGGGTGATAAAAACTTTGATAACATCTAAAAAGTATGAGTACCTAAGTAACCAACCTTCCCCTCTCTCTCTCTTCATAGAAAGGTTTGAGTAGGATTTGATGGTATAAAAAAGGGATGGTAAAAGCACTTTAACTCGTTTCAGTACAATGGTAAATCATTATGTGGCCCTTTTCTACCAAGGTTAAATTAGTGAACCTTCCCCAACAAAAACTTCATCAGGATCAGGAGCCTGAAACGTTGGGAGGAGGGGAAAAAACTTTTGGGCACTTGACATTGTATAATGTACCGCCTTGAGTTCTGCCCACAGAGAATAAAAAAGTTCCCTCTCCACTCCCCTTTGGGTTTTTGGACTTGGTAATCTTGAGGACTTTTTATTCCAAGGATGAACGCTGTAACACATAGAACGTACTGCCAAAAAACACAGGGCTCATTTTCACTTAAAGTTAGTTTGCAGCCCTTTGAGAAAATGAAAAATTTTATAAAAATAAGGCCAACTTTCTAATTTCTGAATGAAAATATTGACAAATTAATGGAGGGAGCCCCCTCGCTTGGGCACAAGTTTTTGGTGTACAAATTTTAAAAACCGTTATTATAACAAACACATCCTGAAAAAATGAAAGTAAAAATACATACTTTGACTTCATGAAGAAAAGAGAGGAAGAGCAGAAAATAATTGAAGCAAATGAAGTCTAAGTTCTACTTATTGCAATATTGTCATGAAATGTGTAATCTCAACATTTCAAGGCACAATTGCACCATCTAGAGAGCTTTTTTAGTCACAGTTAAATATTAGTATAACTAAGTCAGCAAAACATAACTTCAAATAAAATAATTTAACTGCAAGAAACATGTTACAATATCTGATCACTGGGGCTAATTTGAACAATTCTTTACAGAGAAGTCTCGTCGATACAGAAACCATAATAATCTGTTACATTAAAAGATGAACTTTTAAAATATAAATTTAAATATAAATTGAGCAACAATATAAAAAAGCAGGAAAAAAAGAAGAAAGCTGAACCATAAACATATGACTGCAAGCTTGCTCTACAAAATAACAGCAAGTGATGAAGTAACTCAAAAATTTTCACAACAGACAAGAATTGCCAACCAAAAACAACTGATGTTACTAAACTTACAGATTGGGTGACAAAAATAAATTTAAAGTAAAATTCATAACCTTCTACACATTTTTTGTCATGTTATGCTTCTGCATTCCAGTTGATTGGGTAGACTCAATGAAGGCTAAAAAACGGGTATTACACAGCGAATCTCTACATCAGCGAATGCTACATGGAGGTATATTGAATGTGCCTTTAAATTTTCCCAAATTAAGTATACTCGTAGGTACCACAGAACAGAATATCTGTTAGAGGGTGCAACTATTATTTCTTTTGTTTTTTTACTAACTTGTGATGTTTGATGTTTTAGAGTATATGTTAGATTAATTTCATGGCCTGGCAGAGACTTGCTTTCAGAGCAACACTACCGAAGATGTCAAACTAATGGTAAATATTTGATGAGATGTTTCATCGCGTTAGGTTCGGTTTCTAAGAGTAATTTCCTCTGTTCATCTCCTTAAAATGCAATGCTGTAATGTGTTTTTTTTTTTTTTTTTTTTTTTTTTTTGGCGCATCCAAAAAAAATAGAGAAATTAAAAACAGAACTAAAAAGATGTTTCTCAATATTCAATGATAGGAAATGAACAAATCCATAAAGTAAAAATTTTGTATGATACTACTTTCTGCCTTCCAGTTGATTGAGGCAGGTAGTTAAAGCAGAGGATGAACACTATTTTTACTTACAAACAGCAATGAATTGTGAGCTTTGGAAAAAAAAAAAAAAAAAAAAAAAAAAAAAAAACAAAACCATTAATGGCCCTTTTGGAGAAAAACTGCATAGATTAAACATAACGCATAATAAAAATAATTTGCTCCTGAGAACCTAATGAATAAAACACAAATTTATCAAAAATGTTGACAGCAAGTAGGAAACATATAAAATAAATTAATTTGAATCAATTTCTAAAGACACCTGAAGTAAACACACCTCAATACAGATGAGCATCAAACATATACAGATGTTTCAGAAAGAGAATAAGTGAAATTCAGGTACAGTTGAGGAAAAACATACAGATACAGTTAATTAGATAAGAACTAGGCAACAAATATACAAAATAGAATTAGAGATTGTTTTGATTGAGTAAAACCTTAGAGTTCAAATTTAATTGTATCAAAAGTGATGAATGAAAACTCTGTAGTAAAACCTTAATTCATTGTAAAAACGGATTTATCATTGTTAATATCATAAGTTATCATTCATAAGATTCAGTGACCCTGAGGGAGGATCAAAACTTTAGAATATTTTTCCCTACAGAATTTCAGTATAGATTAGTTCCTTTCTGACTGGATCTAAATGAGAAATAGGTAATTTAAATTCACTCATTTTCACCGGATATTTTTTGGTAAAGATGTATAAGAAGAAGTTTAAGCAACGAGAATTTTTGACAGTTGAGTTCATTTTCGCCCAGGTTTCATCACATGTTGGATATATTTGCCCTGTTTGTTTGTATAAATTCGCTTATAGACATTACGCCGCTTTGCGTCCTCCATCAATGCCTTCCACATCTCATCATCCTGTGACAGAAAGCAAAGAGATAAATTACGAAAATCATAGACTGGCACCTCTTTACTCATCTTGATTTCATCAGATCTATTCCTGCAGGCTGATTTCTTGTGTTGGTCGATAAAAATATTGACACGGGGGAATGAGGCAAGGCTCCTGATAAAAGATGGAAATCTCTGGATAGCCATTGATGAACTGCTGAAAACTCACATGCACATTCTGATAAAGGTTACTCATGGGCTTGGGTATACTAAACATATTTTCTGCCTGTTTCTTGGCACAGAAGTGGCACAATACCACTACACGGTACTCAACAGATTTCCACTTCTTCGCCAGTGGCCGGTGGCATTATTTTATTCTTTCATAATACCTAATCCACTCATCCCTCATCAATTTTCCGAGAAATCCTTTTTGAGTCTCAAAAAACGCAAGTTTTTGAGAAATTTGTTTCTTCGAAAAATTAGGGGGTAATGGCAAAAACTAAGTCGTTTTCAGCTTCAGCAGTCAAAAATAAGTAACCCCATAAGACCCCCAAGTGAAATGATTTATCCATTCCTCTGGACACAAAACATACTGATGAGTTTCACATGGGGGATTATGGGCAGAATATGCCATCTGAACCAAAAACTTTCTTATCAGACGTAGCAGAGACAATTTTGTTGCACAACATGCAGTTCTTAATGTTGGTTTTTTTTTAATTGTCATTTCTACGAAGGTATGCAAATTTTCAGTTAATAAAACTGTTTGAAAACTTTTCTCTCTGTTTAATTTTCAACACTTATGAAAACGGACGCAGATTAACATTGTAATATTTGTTTTTTCCCCCCAGCATTCCTGACCCCACTTCCTTGCAAAAATGTCTGTTTACTTTAAAGAAACGGCATGCTCTGGAATAAACAGTCTAGGACCATATTTAAAATTTGCCACATAAAGAAAACTTACACATTGATAGTTCCAAATTTAAGATGATATGAAATAAGGTAACATATATACATAGATGAAAAAGTCCAATTACCTGGAGGGAGATAAAATTAGAGCATATAAATAGAGAGCACTTAGCTCTAGTTAAAGAGACATTGAGACGCTGCTGATTCTCCAGAAATCCAACACCGTGTGTACGCACAGTTGAAAGGATGATAATATCTTTTTCACTACCTTGATAGCTGTCAATAGTGTTCACCTCTACCTCTTTCAACGTATTTTTTGGTATACTCCTGTAAAATAGAAAACACTGTATGAGTCACAGGCATGATTAATTTTAAAATAGGTCGAGCTTGTTGTAAACAGGACTACTTGAGCACAGTAAAACTAAAATATGAAAAGCTTTGAAGAATAAAGAAAATACCTATGCAGATTTTTGCTTCCTCAGGTTAGGAGCACGAGATCAACCACCAATATACATGCAACTAGTCAAGGAGGAATACGACAAAAAGGAGGTACCTTGGAATGAAATACAATACAAACTTTTTCTAGGTGAAGGTAATCAGTTAGTGAATTATAGTCTCCTGAATTATACAACAACTTTACCACAACGCGACCCTTAAAACGTCTAGAATTCAAAATGACGGTCATGATAGGGGCATCGCACCCTGTTAGCATAATTGTCTATTCCATGCGATGAGCAACGGAAAATGGACTCATTTTGCCAGTGGGCCAATGAAGGATTTTCACCTCAGAAAAGGCAAAAATAGTACCAATCAATCGATGTTGAGTATTGGAAAAAAATTTTGTAAGCGCAAACTATTCACCAGAGATTTCTTTGATACAATACAATTTTACAAGAATTTTGATTATGAGCTTTTAGACTTTTTTAGAGTGTCTAATTTTGCTAAATATCCTGTCGTTGAAAACAAAAAAAAATTCCAACACACTTAATGCAGGCTTACGAATGGCAAAAAAGGATAGAAAACATGACTGTTGACAAGTTCAAAAAATTTGGGCTTGATCTTTTTAGTTTTCACTAGTTTGACACCAGCTTGATGGCGAGCTTGACGCTATGTTGCTGTCTTGACAACTTAGCGTGAAAAAAATTCCAGTAAAATCATAAAGCATAAAAAAGATTTCCAGTAAATTTCTTATGCTTTCAACAACAATTTTTTCAAACGTCAATCATTGTCTGATACCATTTCTGTCGATTTTTGCGTATTTTGGAATGAAAACCCTCCATCTACCCGTTGGCGGAATTAGCCCATTTTCAGTTGCCCATTCCACGGAATGATTTAAGTTTTTTATATTTTTAGGAACCAACTACAGTTCTCACTGATTAAATCATATATTTAAAATTTTACAAGAACTCTGGCATTCTTAAGTTGAAACTTGTTTCTTAAGATGTTACTCAGGATGAATATTCCCCAGGGGCTAAAATCGATGTTTGCATTTAAGATGTAAAGTACTTTGAGGCAAAGCAATTCAAAAAAATTAAAGCGAGGACTAAGGATGTAGGTGTAATTGATAGACTGATTTAGATTTTGGATGGATATTGGATATCCACGAGTAACAAAGTCTCTGAGGGGACTGGACTGTTTCGACCAGAGCTTAAGAAATCATCTTTCCATTTTTGGGCTTCCTTATTTGTATCAAAGGAACCTTCATAGTTCATATGTATGACTTTCAAGCCACCACAATTTTTTTTTTTTTTTAAAATTGAAAAATCCTAATCTTAAGGATCTTTTAATTGTACATGAAAGACTTCAAGCTTTCTGAGAATGTCCAGAGGTAATAACATCAGAGGCCTCAGCATCAAGAGTAGCTCATTGTCAACATTCACTTGCTGCTGCTGCCCCCTCTTCGCAGGTTGATGGAGAACAAAGGACAAATGAACAAATCATCATCCTTGATGATGGCAAATTTTTGTGAGTTGAAATCTGTCAATTATATGCAGGATTTTGACCTTTAAACTGAAAGCAAACTGTCTTGGCCATTACACCAAAAAGGCCAACTTAAAGATAATTCAGTAAAAACAAATATTTTACAGCAAATGTGATAACTAAGAACCAATGACTGAAGGAAGCAATATGAGCCTCTCAAAGAGCAAAAATTTTGTTTGTTTTACTAAAATGTTCGTTGAATAAAAAACACGGGGAAAATGTTTTCGTTTTGCCCTAAAAATACCATCTTTTCAAGAGTTGAGCACTTTCTCAGCTACATATAACCACACACTGCTTTTTCTGCACTTGACAAACACTTTGTGGCAGAATAAAATTGATATTTGCTTTGCAGGGTGTACAACAAATTTACCTCTGATTTGTAATTTAGTGACACCTAATGGGACCACATATTGCAATTAGGAACTAAGATTCCTAGCTCATTAAAGATATAAAAATGGACTACATTTTGCAATTAGGAACTACAATTTCTGGCTCATTTGTAAAAACACTTATGTGCATAGGGAAACCAATGGTACATAGATTGTATCTAAACTGAGCCAGGAATTGTAGTTCCGAATTGCAAAATGTGGTCGAATTAAAGAGCTGTTTTAAATTCCACTTGTACCTCTTATTCCTTTGAGAGTTGAAGTTTTTAAAGATTAACAAATTTGCACATCCTAGGAGGTGGGCTTTACATTGAATTAAGAAGAATCTGAGGCTGAATCCTGTTAAATTGCTTAACAAACGGCGAGCAGATGAGATACATTTTTCCTAATATCTTAAATGATACATACACAATTTTTTCAAGCTTTGTAAGGAATAATTTTCTCTGTTTCTGGTATGGTGTGATCACTCCAATTGACATGACTCTGGTATCTGGTCGGCTCAAGATTTCCTGGATTAAATTTATAACAATTGTTGCCTCTTCTTCATTTGTTTCCCTGAAATGAAAATGAAACAGAGCCTGTGATGAGAATGTTTTATGCAAATATTGTTTTAATAAATTAAAATTAATAACTAGCTCTATAAATATAGGCATAGAAAAATCACCGCAGAGAACGCCCAAACGAGTTAATGCAGTCGATTCTTCATCGGACGATTTACTGCAGACAATTTACTTCTTGTATGGACAGTTCATCACCTCACTGTTTGTTACTAGATAATTCCCCAAACTGATAAAGTCAGAGAATTTAAAAAAAAAGGAGCTAGGAGATATTATGCGCAATATTTCCTTAATGCTTCAAGTAGGTCAGTTGTGCTGGTCACAGAATCGTGTTTTGATGCTTTATTCTTGCAGATCGACTAAAAATAATAAGATGAGTCCAAACAGCAACTTTTTTATTCACTATCGCGGTGGATGACGTCAAAAACCCGACTTTTCAAAGGGCGATATCTTGATTAATATTCAACGTAGAAAGTTGCTGTTTGGACAGATCTTATTTTTAGTTAATTACAACTATCAAGCATCAAAACAAGAATCTGTGACCAGCGCAACTGGCCCATTAGGCTCAGGACTGGGCAACATGTTGTGGAAGGTTAAAAATTTTGGATACAATACAAATGAAAATGTGAAAGGAGATGAATGAAAATCAAACAAAGAGTGAAGAAAAAACCTTTTATAATAATAGAATGACAGTGATAGACTGAAAAGGATCCCTCTTGACCCCCCTCTTTGCTATGACAACCCAGCATGGCAATCCCCACTATAGTATCATCGCCCCTATCTGCTTGTCTGGTGAGCAACCTGCTGCTCACCTGATTTAACGTACATCTTTAGCGCTAATTCTAACAACAACTTAAATTTTCCTGATTCAATTTTTTTTTCCTGCAAAAATCAGAATTTCTCCGAAAAATTGATTTTTTCAAGAAAAACCTCAATTTTCCAGAGAATGTATGTATAATAGAGATGAATGTAAGTCATTTTTGGATTTAGCAGCCACTGAAAGACGTATAAGTATGAATTGCATGCATATTGAGAGCAACCCAAACAGGGCATATTCATGCTGAGTTCCATAGCAGAAACATAGAGCTGCATGATTTTTTAGGGTTTCAATAACTGCCTCTAACTGTATCTTAGCATTCGTGTAGACGGACTATTGAGTGGTTATTAAGAAGCCTTTAATGTTCTTTTTTGGGATGAAACCCTCTTTTTCAAATCCAATCAGGAATCAGCAAACAGAAGGTTATGTTGCGATGTAAAGTCCAAAAATCGTCCAGCAAGGAAAAGGTGACATGACGAAGAGGGTCAAATTGAAAACTACCACTTTCTGCAGCTTTTAGTTTTTGGAAGCCATACTTTCCAGTGATATAAAGTTTCTTTCATGAGTTCTTTTCCAATGCTTGAACTATGCCATATTTTGCACATACCTCTTCAATCACTGGATTAATTTTCACGATTTGTTTACAACACATTCAAATTCTATTCGTAATTCAATGTTGAAAAGATAAATGTAAAAAAATGTACAGCCATCAAGTCAATTTACTCTCTGCTTGCTACATTCAAATTACTTACCCATCAGCTTCTGCTTTGCAAGAAGTTGACAAAACAACATACGGGAGCAAGGGACTGCTGTTTGATCGTTTGTTTGCTGACTGATGAGTAATCAACTTCCCCTCATAGAAGAAATTATTTGGCCATTGACAGATTTCTTGGTGCATTCTATATTGGGTATCTAGAAAAAACAATGGTTTCCTCTTTCCTGTGGTACTTTTTGTGAAGGTACTATAGAGACGCGAAAACATTGACTGACCAAAACCATATCTTAGGCAAGTCTGAAAAAAGAAATTGAAGGATAGAAAATGTACACAAATTCATTCAACATTTACTATTATGAGAGCAGATATTCTATAAGAAAATCCCCCTAAAATTTTCTCACATTTTAGCGAGCATCTTTCACCACTCTTACTCCACTCTGGTCTATGGTGATCTAGATTCTCACCTTACGAAAAACTCATTTTTTTTTTTTTTTTTTTTTTTTTTTGCAAGGGGGGGGGAGAATTCGCTTTTTTTTGATTAACTTAGCACAAGAAATCAAATTACAGAGCAAATAGAAACTCTACTCCAAGTTCGAGAGGTACTTAACCCTTAGATGACGAATCGGGTCTATGAAGCCTGGCGGCTTCTTATTTTTCACGCCACGGCAGTTGTAATTATCCGAGAGGTCTGTCCTTCACAAATAGCTCTACAAAAACCCTTGTGAACATATTTCCCGAAAAAATAATTTCAAACAATTTTTTTTGAGCACACAGAAGCGCTATGAGAGCGACTTACTAGAAGTAGTATAAGTACGACAACACATTTTAGACTTTTCTTTTCTTTTCACGAAATTAAAAAATAACTTTCTAAGTGCAAAACTTTGAAAGAGATACATCAGAAAGTACTAATTTTTTGGCTACTGGAAGGAGGGAGAGGGGGTAAGGGGGGTAAGGTTGGTAAGGTTGCCCCCTCCCTCTCAAATTCAAGTATACTTATAGGGGTAATAATGTTTCTTCAATGTAACTTACTCAAAATCTCAAAACAGATATAAAATGTTTTTATAACGAGAGGCTCCTAGATCTGAGGGGACTGGGGAGAGGAGGGGGAGATTTAGAGGGGGAAGGGGGGGCAGTTTATGGGCGGAAATAGAATTTGGGACCTTCATTATAGAAGACGAAGTATGAAGATCATAAAATTCTACAAAAAATAGAGAAAAAAGCATCGCAGCTATCGAATGACTAAGTATTCTCAATACGGGCCTCGCAGGCGCGGGTTAGTCATTCGTGCAGGTAAAAACAGTTAGTCATCTACGGATTAAAAAATGCATGTTTTTTTAAGGGTAAATATTTTGGTACGTTAATGTACAGATATAGGAAAAACAGGTATCTAGATTCAATGTTTCATTTAATGATACACCTTTATTCTTGCACCTTGCAGCTTTGATAATGAAAACAAGAATTTACCAAAAACAAATTAAATATATTTTTGAATTCTACAACTCATGAGGATTTCGAAATCTGCAACATGATGAAAAAGTCAGGCTGGAATGTCTTACCGGTGAGAGAACAGTGGGACTAAGCTGATTGGGGTCTCCTACAAGGATTAAGGATTTGGTCCCAAGGAGAAGAGGAATCAAAGCTTCCGGCTCGGTGCACTGAGTAGCTTCATCAATGATGCACACAGAAATTGGTAACTTGCTTGAACCCTCAGAACTGAAAATGTTGAAATAAAAAAGAACTACAATTAAAGCTCTGGTTTGTTGGCTCTTTCTGAGGGCTAGATTTCATTTTTAATTGACAATTAAGGTTCATTCAAGCCAATTGGACACAAAGCAACAGGCAACTTTTTACAAACAAGTTTGGAGAAGACTTCAAACCAACCCTTCAAATCAATATTATGGACTACACATTGTTTCCTATGATTCTGTCTGTAGATTGATAATTTCTGCTTGATAACGTACAGACCCTGTACCTGTCCATAAGGAGAAACCAGTAGATAAGAAGGTTGGTAAGCAAATAGAGAAAAATGTTTTCACCTTGTAGAGGAAAAAGTTAAGAGAACCCTAATTTTGAAAAGAAATTTGGTTTAAAACGTGTCTAAATGGGACAGCGGCAAGCCATTTATAAAGAGTTGAAGTGCAATTCTACAAATATAAAATATTGTAATAAAAACCAAGAAATTCATTAAAAAGTACAGAAAAGCAGTTGCAAGGGAAAGAAAATCTAATCACAGTTTGACAGTTGAGATGATGCAGTAAGGCAAAGCCTGAAGCTCGCTTGGCTACATAATTAGAGCCCATCAAAATATTGTATCAAACTGGTCCCATTTTCGCTATTATCAGAACGCGGTATTTTTGACAGTTACGGTTTAAAAAATCGGAAAAATTCCTGGTAGCTCAGTTCACTCCTTACTTTAAAAAAATGAGTACTACTGGCCCATTAAGTTGTAAAGTCAAAAGAACTTGGGGCAAGAGTTGGATTCACCTGATATTCTGGGTTATTGAATTTATATCGAGATATCCGGTGTTTCCCCTTCAGTGCGATTGTAAATCCTTCTAATTTCACCAAATTTAGGCTAATTAATTACTTTGGTTTACCTGCTTTTTGTTTTGCAATCTAGTGAGAAAGAGTTCAAATAACCGGATTCATCAAAAAAGTCACTCAATTTGGCTCATAGAACCCCAAGTTTCCAAGGCATGATCACTGCCTTAATCAATCAAGTACTCTCAGCAGCTTTAATCTTTAATGGTGATTCTGAGTGATGTAGGGGCATGATCTGCCACGATGTTGCGCTCCTACACAGTCTGTGTCTTTGAGAAGCAATAATTATTGTAATGGACAAACGTCTAGCAATATTAACACTGAGTAGTGAAACAAAAAATTGGTTACAATCTCAAAAATGATTTTCATTTTCAGTCCTTGTGGATAAACGTGATACTTTAAAAAAAAAGTAAGGAGGTCTTACTAGTTTTCTGAAGTAAAAACTGATTTCATTTGAGTTGTGAGACATGAGGATAAAGTTACAGCTACAACTTGGGCTTTTCGAAGAAAGTCCTCCTCATTGTCATCTTTTGACCTGTTCTGTCTTCTCTTTTTTGCTTCTGGAGTCTGTAAAAATTAAAAATTTAAATTATTACTTTGCTTATCCACAATTTCGTCATTTACGAAGGTATCAAACAGCCTGATCAACCAGTCTTTGGTATTCCTGTATCATGTACAAAAAATGGAGTTGTTAATCACTGATGCACTGTATTACACTTGATAATTATTCCACCCAACAAACTTAACAAAGAAATTGAGAGGTGGAACTGACCAATCTCATAACTTCATTTTCCCTAAGTCTGGTCCTGTCATCAAACAAAGAATGCAAAGTTGTAACAATTGGCCTGCTGATTTGTTTCTTGGGCCGAATGTTTTCATTGTTTAAAGGCCTAGTGGCTTCATATTTTAAGTAAAACTCTGACAAAGTGGGCTTGATACTGAGCTCTTAATTTTAATAAATAACCTAAATACATCGAGTTTGATTTCAGTCATCTGTCAATTAACAGTTATCAGCTGTGCAGTTCATTTTTAAATATTGGAAATTCATAGAATATACTGCATAAAATATACTACAAGATGATCCAAAAATACCGTACTTCCAGCACAAGGCGTCACTCCTGTAACTTTTCAACAATAGATAAAAACTTGGAATTTTATGAGTAGCCTTAGTTCAAAGAAAACGACTTACAGAGAGCCCCAAAATTTTAGAGGGACCACTCTGAAAAAGGGTAAGAACTCTACGAGTTACACGGATGGTCCTGGAATTTTGGATCACCTTATGTATGCTGTAAGATCAGACAACACGCGGTGATAATACAATTACAAAACTTACATTAAAGTGTTTCATCAAATATAAAAGTTGTTGCTCTTCTGTCTCTATTCCTCGGAGCTCGTCCTGAAACTTTTTCAAATCATCCTCCTTCCTTTTAAGAATCGCAATGTCACGTTCCAACTTAGCTTTCGGCTTGTATTGGAGTAGATGGTCCTCACACTGTTTGATGGCCAGATTTTTAGCATTCTTCTTGGCTTTGACAAGCTCAAGCTGAAAAAGGAACCATGTTCAAGAAGAAAATTATCCAAAAGTGAGGAAAGAGGAGAACACCTTACGTGCAAAAAAGAACGGATAACTTATACTGAAATATTATACTGCCTGCCACAAACGCTTTTAAATACATATATTCATCTAATTGAAAATTTCCATTGCCCCTGTATATTGATACTTCATCGCTGTATCAATAAAAGGGTTGAGTGGAAAGGCTATGTTTTTGTTGGCTAAAATAGGAGATGGCTGTGATTCATTTTGATTCTTACATGGCAAACGCTATTAATCATTGATTAATATTTTTTTCTTCTAAAACTGGCTTCAATGTGTACTTATTTGATACTTTAATGAACGGCAGTTCAGAGATTTGAAGTTACCTGATGGAAAAATGTAATTTCGAGAAAAACCTACATAAAATTCTAATCTGCTAAGTTTACAGGAAAACTGCTGACCCTTGTGATCAGGGGGATGCAGGGGATTTAGATCCAAGCCTGTTTGTCTGCTGCTGGACATCGAGCAAGTCTCATTCCTATTGGTCGTGGCAGACGGCAGACGGTCGTTTGGCAAAGGGACAGGGGCAGATTTGTTTTCAATGTATTTCTCCTCACAAACAAAGTAAAGAGAGAGGAAGAAGAAGAAAAAATCCCATCCTTACTTGAATCAGCAGCCTAAGTCTAGTCTACATTCTCATAATAGGGACTCTTTCATCCTCAATAGAGGTAAAAATCAATTTTTTCCTACTTCTTTAAATTTTGTGATTTCTCTCTGGATTTGAGAAAAGAGTCTGTAGCCAAATTGCCAAATCTGTACTTGTCCCCCAATTTTGGCTACTATAAAAATGGCAAATGACGGATTATGATTTGACAAGATAGATTGCGATAAGTCCAATTACCTGGATTTGTCTACGATAGACGCACTAATTATTATAAAAACAGAAATTCATTTACTTACGTCCATCTTAAGTTGCTCAAAGCTACTGTCTGAGGTGCGTTGCTTTTCATTCCTTTGCACCAGGGCAGATAGAGAAAAATTATGTCCTTTGGGACTAACTCCTGTACCAACACGAACCAAGCTAAATTTTTCATCCCCTGAAAATTTAAATGGAATAAAAATAATTTAAAAAAATTTTCTGCTTGCTTTAAGGTTGAACAACACTGGGTGTACGGGTTAAATCTCTGGAAATTAAGACAGAAGAAATAAAGATGAAAGAAATTATGTGTAAACTTGATGTATGACTAATTAATGAAAGTAGCTGCTCAGATATTAATGGATGTAGAAATTTTATACTAAAACAAATCTGATTATTTGTTTCACCTATCTGCAAGATTCAATGATCAAAACTTGTGTCTATCACATGTACGACTGAATAATAGATTTAAAAAAGAGGAGAGAGATAGAGGGATACAACTCATCTGTGGAATTATATTAAAGATTTAACACTAGAATTGGGCCAGGTATCCGATGGTTATGCAGATTGCCAGATTATCCAGCTAGATTCCGGATATCCAGCTCTGGCTGGATACTATTTTCGTTGGTATCTGTATCCGGCCGGATAATTGCGATATCCGGTTTTTGGACCTGCCGGATAGTGATTTTACGGCAGTGAAAATTTCGAGAAATTTTTGGTGATATTTGGGCATTTTTCGCCACACTTTGAGTAGTCATTGTAGTTATTCAACTTTTCGAAACTTGTTATCACCGGAATTAAGGACATTTTCTGCACATTCACTCGATTGCAACGTGATCCTTAATTCCGAAAGTCCGCATGTTTAACTTTTAAAGACGAATATGCAAGTGGAAGATAAAAAAAAACAATGCCACCAACATGTACATAAGTTCCCTGTTGGTAACTTTTTTAGTCCGAGTGTAACCCCGCAACTATTGTAATGTCGCAGTACGCAGCTTGTTATAGCAGCATCAAAGCGCTGTTTTCCACTTCTGTCTTGTTTAGGCACACTTCTGATAGTATCTCTCTTTCTGCACATCAAATTCATCTGGCCCATCACACCATGAAACCAATGAAAGACACGCTCCTTATCCGCCAGGTCTTTTTTTTTTAGTTTTCGTTTTAGCGTGCCGACTCATGGCATATCATTGAAAAATATGGAGATTGTCTGTGCAAAGGCACATACATCGAGGATGACGGTCTTGATAGTGTAATACACAATGCACCTCTTATCCCAATTGTCCCCATGAAATCGGGAGATTTTTCTGGCGCGAAAAAGCACTATCCGGATCTGGCATTATCTGGTTCCTGCCGGATAGCCTGGCAAATCATTCGTTATCCGGCTCCGGCCAGATACAAAAACTCTATATCCGTATCCGGTGACGCAGAAAACCCATTTTGGCCCAACTCTACTTAACACTTAATGCAAGGTACATTCAAACAAACATGACGTCTAATCTTGTAAGTGGTGCCCTCTTATAATATCTCCTGAAAAGATGAGATCAATATCTTTTACTTAGGCATCTTGTTACTTAGCCTTACCTAGTGTTTTACGAGTTTCACCCAATTTAGACACCAATTCATCAACTGCTGCATTTGACGACGCACACACAAGGATTGTATTGCACCGCTCATGATTAGTCTTCAAAACCCGAAGTAGTTGCTGAATTATACAAGTGATGACTAGAGATTTCCCCGTACCTGCATAGAGATTGAGGTTGATTGATAATGGTAATACCAAAATAAATAATCAAATTATTCACAGTGCCAAGTAATGCATCGACATTTCTTTGTAAAAAGCTGTTGAAATAAATGTAAGCAAATGAGAATGAAAGAAGGTTTAAGGAAGTTTCTTCCAAAGTGTAAAATCCACAATAGAATCAATACTTTTCTTGAGGGCCCAAGCGCCAAAGTCCAAGTCTCCAAAAAAACTGAAAAAAGCTTGCCCTCTCTGCGGGAGTTTGATCTTTCCAGCCCAGTTTCAATAGGTACTCTTCAGACACATACATTCTGTGGGCTCAAAAATTTGAGCGCTTGTATAATATTTGGCACATCCTCCCCCCCTTTTTTGGAACTTAAATTTTGGCGGTTTGGTATATAAAAAAAAATAGTTGTTCAATAGAGACGGGCAGTTCACCATAGGATGTACAGACCTAGTTCATGGTTTTCCTGAACTTCCATTTTAGCAAGAAATCTAAAATTACATACTACATTAAAAGCAAGCATGTAAAATGGTGTACATTGTGGATCTCATTTTAAGAGCGTTATATTCCATGTGTATTGTACTTTATATTTTATGTGAATTGATAAAAAAAAAAAAGAAGGAAAAATCATGTAGCTCAGATTGTGAAATTAAGATAAATACTTTTTTCTGAATAAAATGATGACACGGCTCCTGTCAATGATTCAGAATATTAAATGGAAATCAGTCTAGTCCACACTTCAACGAGACAAAACATGAAAAATAGCACAGGTTGCTAATTTAATTTAAAATCTGATTTATACTTGAAATAAACTCATGTGAGGATGTAGGGTACCACTATTTTCGTACCTAAATATTACAAGCACCAATTATGCGACAGAACCATCGGAGTCACTTGAAATTTTTAATTATTTCTTTTTTGTAATCAAGATTGATCCCTGAACGATTCATGGAAGTGTGCGCTAAAGTTTTTATGAAAAAATTAAAACAATATTGAGATGCACAAGAAGATGAAGTCTAAATGTAAAAGTGAATAGTGCTTGGGATACTTTGGTTGGATGGTGGCAATATCAAGTTGAATTCAATGAAACATGAGACACTTGTGTTATGAGAACAATGGAGGCTGTGGAGGAGATCATTGTTTTCTTTACTTTGATCTTACCTCTAAAAAGTAGTATGTGAAAGGAAACTAACCTGGGGCACCTTGGATCAAGCAAACATTTGGTTTTGGGCTCAGACACATTTTTACAGAGTAATTTACAGCTTCAAATTGTGAACTGTTCAGATCACACATGAATTTCTGAATGAACCAAAAACAAAGTAATGAGAAATGATGAAACTAGAGGTGATTGAGTATATGAAATTTCAAAATAGCCAAACATTCATTTCTCTCAACTTTGACTCCAGAATTTGAAATTGGTAGCCATTTGCAAAGGAAACCTGGTTTGATGTTGTTAACGAAGACTTGATTTTCCAGGTATGCAACTTTTACAGCGAGGGCAAATTAATGTGCACACAAGCCTTTGCTCGTATCAAAAGACCTTAATACCGAATTGAACTTTTTTAAGAGCAACCAAATATGCATTTCCATTTCTAGGTCATGGTCTCGATTATTTTTCAGGAAGGAGTTTTCTGCACAAGATAGTTCAACTTGACTGGGGAAAAAAGCAATGATTGTATGAGGAGCTTTGAAAAGTTTCAACTTAAATATTCAAAAATGTCCAGAATGAACTAAAGATTGTTCACTTACACTATAAGGAAGAGTCTTGGAGTCATCGTAACCTGGGATACTAAAGTCATAAGACTCTGGAGCTAAGATTGCATCACGCAAAGGATAGGACGGTATGGAACGGAGAGCATCATACAACCTCAATTCAGGTATAATTGATTTTATTCTCTGTAAGCAATGAGATCATTGTAAATATTATACATTATTATTGTAAATAGTAAGTAACATTCTTATTAATAGTTTAAAATAGCGGCTGCTACTACTGAAATGCAAACACGCAAACACAGGCCACTAGCGGCTGCATACATAAACTGGTACAGGAGTACAGCAGATATTAGACCAGCATTATCTGCTGATTTTGCGTGTTCGCCAAATCAAAGTGCTGCATGGTCAACAAATTGATAGAATTAAGAGATACATGTCGATTCTCAGAATCGAAGTGTTCAATGCGCTTATTTGATTTTGCTTTAATTGACATGGGCGAGTTCTGACATCCACCAAGGGTTGTTTTTATAAAATCACGAGCATAGCTAGTGCAGGGTGTCTACTAAAACAGGCTGGCCAAGATTCAGTACTTTCTCGATAAATTCCTAAGAAATTCAGTACCTCCTTAACAGAAAAAGAACGTACTTTTCATTACCTTCATTCGACAAAATTCGAAATTCTCGCTCCAATTGCAACAAAAATGATGTAGCCACAAAATCTCACTGATGGCTAGAGGATTAACTGACCACAGAATTACAATCTTGCAGGCAAATACTACTCTAAGAATCAACGTGCAGGGGATTGCATACTTTCCAGGCTCAATTAAAAAAAACGTGGTATGAAGGAAAAAATTCTAGACCATCTTGCAGAATTTCTGCATTTTTCCAGTACTTCTGGACCGCCCTTAAAAAACCAGTACTATTTCCGGACTGGTAGACACCCTGTAGTGCCCTGATCTCCTCATTGGATGTATGACGCGAATGTATGCACCTAAATTAGTCAACAACGCAACGCACCATCCGAGCATCTGCAGTAGGTTGAGTTGCAATCAAGGCTTACACTTTACATATTGGTAGCATGATTACTTGTACCATCTAAAAAAAGCAAAAACTATATTTGAAACTGAATGCGGAAATTGCCCTAAAGTACTTGCCTTCATTTCTAGTGCTACATCTGTGACAATTTTCTTGTCCCATAGAAAATTACCATAATTTAAAAGGACCTTCAAGAGGAGAACGGCGCAAGGTTTGCCCTTCTTTGTTTTGGAGGTTACTGTAATAAAAAACAAAAAAACTGATTCATATATTGCTTTGCATATTGTTAAACTGGAACAGTAACGAGAGAGAAAAATCATTTAAAAATTGGCTGATCGCGAGACCAAGCATTGTCTGCGTCAAAGATTGAAAATTTAAACTTTAGCTCAGAACAAAGATTGTTACAAGTTTTGAATGATGGTCCTGTTTTGTGATTCAACATTTTCTTCTAAAATTTTCAAAGTGATGGTTCATTATAAGCAAATAAAAGGCTGTCACTTTTGGGGATATTTGCAAGGCCCATGCCTTGCCCTTCCATTTGTGCCACTTTAGGTTTCTTACCTATGTAAGGTTCTTTTTGAGCAGGAAAAATTGTGTCGCCTGTGTAAATGGCAGATGACAGACGTTCTCCTGAAAGGATATTTTTAGATCGTGCAAGAATCTTACAATTTTCTTAGAGGATGTAAGAGATGACTCCGGGTTCTCTTGTATTCCTAGGTGCTCATAAAATTATGTAAAAAGAGCCCCACTATCATTGACAAAGGGTGGAAAAAGGAAGGAAAGAACAATATGCGAGACTTACTTAAAGGCTGTAGTGCTATACTGTGACTTTCAGAAAATTTAGAAAATCTTCTGTCAAACACCACAAGGCCAAAATACATGTCCGGAGCATTCTTGTATCTTTCAGTGGTATGAAATTTCAAGCGTACGATCACAAGATCATCCTTTCGTGGACAATTATTGTTCCTAATATCTTCTTCAAACAGGACAACTGAAAAAATAGAAACAAAGACTTAGTAGACTGAGTAGACTTGATGACTGACTGAAAAAACCATTATTTTAATTAAAAGTAAAAAACTGAGTCGATTAAGGTACCTACATCAAGGAAGAGGTTTTTCTGTTGTGAACTTCAGCCAAAGCAAAAATAGGGGTTTTTTCCCATGATTTGAAAATTAGAATAAGCGCATTGGCAAAGTCTGAGAGTCGATCAGTTGGTACCTTACTGGTTTGTCTAAAAGATTAGGGCATTTTTGAACTTTTTACCCCAAAATTGTGGTTTAACAGACATGATTTGAGACAGAAAAGGCACCAGGCACCCTGATTTTACAAGGCTAGGTCACTTTGGAACTTGTAAAATAAAGAAATGGTCTTACAGTCAAGCGAGCTGAATTGTGAGAAAAATGTTTTAAGAGAGAAGGGGAATGGAAGATTCAGAAGGCAGGACGAGAGGAGGTAGTCATTGAAGCACAGTGCTTACCATTGCAATTGAGTTGTAGATACCTCTTAGTCGTTTGAGGCACATCTTTCACAGAGCAACTTTCAATCATGAATCCAAAAGTACATCTAACAAAAACAAGAAAATAATTGTGAAATCGAACAATATTTGGGCACAAAAATAGAAACAAGATTAAAAAAGATTAGATTTGCCAAATGGTCTAGTTACACAGTCACTTTTGCCTACATTTAAATGAATGAGTAGAGACCAATTTATTTTAGGAGCCTCAAAACGAGAATTTTTCTTAATTTTTTATTTTCATTTTCATTTTTTATTTTTATTTTTATTTTCATTTTCTTTTTTTTTTTTTTTTGCATAATAGTTTGAACCTGAGAGTTCATATTTCTTGAATGATGCAGCCATTCATTGGCATACTTTTTTAGCTGATGAAAAGAAACTTGGTAGAAGGTAATCAATAAGGCTCGTGCATTCAGAAAATATAAGTGAACTCATTATTTGCTACAACCTTCTATATGTAATGGCGGAAATAAAAATTGATAGCATATTTGCTCAAGCGACATGTTCCTTGATCAAACAGTGGAAAAATTTGTTTCCTGCACTCAAGGCAAATTTGGAATAAAAAACATGGAAGGGAGATTTTAGAGGTTCCCCCCCCCCTCCATCTAAATTATGACTGAGTCTTAAGTTTTCATATCCTACTGCGAGTCTTCTGAAAAGCTTACTTGTCTCCTAAAGAGTGAGATTTATCAACTTGTCCGAGGGAAAATGAGCGATCATATGCTTGCGAGACTGATGCCCAGACCTCATGATGTAGGAGCGGCTTCATTATTTGATAGTATTCTTTTGGAGAAGTGAAATTCTCCTTAACAAATTTGAGGCTAAGCGGTAGGCCAACTGGTGGAGGAGATGCGGAAGCAGCAACAAGTTTTTGCTCCTTAAGGAAAATAAAATACCATAATTAGCTTCCAAAACATTCAATAATTAAACAAATGAGATTACAATGGGAGTTTTTATAGAAGGAATTTGATTCACCCTTCATACATGTACACCACATCGCAACAAGCTTCCAACGCTAACTGTTTTTTGCAATTCAGTGTTGTTGCCTGATGGCCAAATTTGTGATCGGCTTTACAGAAAATGGCTGATTTTATGGCAACTTCGCCAATTTCATGGCAAAATGTGTAATATGACTCACTTTTATCCACATATTGAGCCTAAAAAAGGTCATCACTTTTCGAAAATGCGTAATCTAGGGTATACCTGATGCTCAGCATAATTCACAAATTGCAACAGGCAATGTATATGCAGCAAATGCAAGTCTTGTAAAATATTGCAAAGGAAAAAATCAAGTTTCCATGAAATATGCAATTAACTTTCTCAGTACCTAGTAAAAAATAAAGTCAAAAACAAGTTTCATACACGATGCATACATCTTGATTACTGTTGAACATGGCTGTACTACAGCTCCTAAAATATATCTATTGTCATCGCTCATTCTCTTGGCGGAAAGTGGTGTCTTAAACAAGTCTAATGTTATCATTAATCACAATTTTAAATGAGAAAAATACCACTAAGATTAATAAAATGTGCCTTTTGTCAATGCCTGTTCTAATATAAGATGCGAATGGTATCAAAAAGGCCAATAAAACCTGGTTGATATTATTGATGGCAGTTAACCAACAGACAATCATCTGTAGCTCCAAATGTAACAGAGGATTACAAGGGGGGAGAGGGGGGTAGAGAAAGTGATGAAAAGCTGTGATATAAGGAAATTGTTGTTTCCTAAAAACCAAATTTATCTTGTGACTTTGCAAAGCTATGCCTCAGAGAGATTAAGTTTTGGGACAAAAAAGTTGACAGTCCCCAAATCTGGGGAAGAAGGTCAGCCAGTCCCAATGGTGCTTATAAAGTTACAGAGTGTGAAGAACACCACTCATCAAGTCAATAAAGTAGAGGAAAGAGAGAGAACTTACATGAATCCATGACGGCCGCCAGTGGAGTATATCCAGTTTGATAATATCTTCGGATTCGAATTGCTCTCGAACCTTCACCTCTGCGTCTTTTGCTTTGGCTTGAGCAGCATTAAATTTTTTTACACCCTCTAACGGTTCAATTAGAAACTCAGTTACTAGTAAATTATCTGGAGCAAAGGTGACACCTTTCCTCTTTTTGGGGATGCGAGGCATTTTCCCTGATGAATGTTGTCTGTCAGAACACGAGATGACTCTTTTAGCAGACATGGACTCACTCTCCTCAGGGTGGTTCTTATCACCATTGATGATATTCACAGATCCACTCGTCAGTTCTGGATACCTACTTGATTCCTGTTCCAGTTCACCCTGCGACTTAACATGCGAAACTCGCTTTCGAGGCCCAGTTTTAATAATGACAGATTTATCTCCAATTTTCGATGTTGATGGTTCCATACTTGATAAGGCTTTTTCCGCTGATTTTAAATTGGACATTGCTTTTGATTTTACAGAAGCCGTTTCTGACTCTGTAAGGAATGAGCCTCGGGGTTTTTTTGTGTCTTTGGCTTTGACTGGTGCATGCGGTTTTGGAGCATCTCTCTTGGGCTTTTGCAGTTTTTCTTTCTCGCTTAGTTCTCTCAATTTTTCTTTCCTAATGTTAATTAATTCTTCATTTGTTCTGGGTTCTTTGTCTGGAACTTTGTCTCTGTAATTACCTTTATCACTTTTCTTATCACTTCGCCTACTTGGACCCGCCTTATTTTTGAGTTCTTGGTGCAGTTTATGGGCATTGTCTGCACTAATGCCTCGCAGATGAGATTTTCTTTGAGGCAATGGAACAGCTTCTATCATTTCTGCTTTCCTTGACCCCTTCTTATTCAACTTAGAGTGTTTCTCTTCTTTTTCTTCCATGTTAGCCAACTTGTCTTCTGCAACTGAAACAGCATCCTTAGAGACAAAATCCTTCTGGGCATTCTTCTCCTTATCTTCTGGTTCTGGACTAGATTCAATGCTCAGTCTTTTCTTGGTTACGAATAATTCTGTATCGCTACTTTCTGAGGAAATATAGATGGAGGATGCAGCACTGGTGGTATTTTCTTTAGCTTGCGTGGGTCTTGCATCACTATCACCACTTGATGAAACAGACCGTGACAATCGCTTGGCAACTGATGCCCGCATTGCTACATCTGTATCAGATTCATCATTCAGCATCGTGAGGAGAGTTGGTTTCCGCATAAACGGTTTAGCACCATCCTCAGGGACAATGGTGCTGGAGTAAACACCAGAGATTTGTTCTCGAGTCTCCTCATCACCATCATCAGAATCCTCGATTTCTATGATTTGTGACATTGATGATTGTGACAGCTGATGGTACCAACTTTTACTATCTTCCTCTTCATAATTATCAAACAAGTCATCCTCGTCAGGCACAATACTATTAAATAATTCTATAGCGCTGAGCACATCTTTTTTAGCAGAATTGATATCACTGGATTTTTTAGCTGCACTCGGCAAGGTTGCTACTTCTTTTTCCTCATCACTTCCACTGCTTATGGAAACAACATCCGGGTTCTGTTGAGCTCCACTGGAAGGTCCAGGGAAGTCATAAGGCCTTACAGGATCTGGTTTGACGATTACCATGCAATGTTTTGATGCGTTCAAAAGATTATCAGACTCTTGAATTGAATTTGTATACGATGATTTGGTCCCAATGTGACCATTTCTGCTTTCAAGCGGGACAGCCTGAAAAAAAAAAAAAATAAATAAAAAGATTTTGTAAACTTGAAAAAAACAAGGGCCATTCATTTGTATTCTTTTAAAATTATCAAAAAATACGAACACAGCGAAATGGAAGAGTATGCCACTTCAAGTTAAAAACAAATAAACCAAATAGCATTAGGAGGTAAGTACTATTGACAGCAAGGCAACCACAACTGGCTTCGCCTTGGGAAATATGATTATTGACTTAAAACTACATGTAACAAAAGAAACAAGAAGGAAAAATAGAGACTAACCGTACTAGTGCTATTTGAGGGAGTCTTCAAATGAGACTGCTGTTCTGAAACTTCTTGGTTGACATTATCTTCAGTATCTATTTCCATGCTGCGATTCAGTTTTGTAGCATCTAGTGAAGGTCTTCCATTTCTTAAAAATGATGGTACTGCATCATTATTACCAGTATGATCTTGAATTGCCCTAAAAATAACCCAACAAATTTTTAAGTACCGCTAGTTTGTTCTGAGGTGAAAGCAAACTGAATGAAAGCTCTAACCCCATACAAAACAAAGGGAGAGACTTAGATCAATTCCTTAAAAAAAGAGTAGAGCACTCAAAAAAGCCAATCTTAATTTAGAAATATTCCAAGTTCTCTTACTCCCTTTATAGAAAAAGTTCTACAATGATTGCTTACGAATACTTTAGGAACCAATGTAAAAAACATTTTTACCAGATAGCTGTTAATTGCTGTCTTCTTTGTGAGAAATGCAAGAAAACAAAATTGTAAATTGTAATAGATAATTGAAGAATTTAGATCTTCCAATGTCATTCTGGCTGTTTAATCCATAACAAAATAAGCAAGTTACCAAAGTTAAGGATGAAGAGGAAGATATGTCAACAGGGTAGAAAATACTGCACACTAATGAGTGGAAAAAGAAGATGAGAATTGAATTTTATTAGCCTCATTTGGACGTATTTGTGCCAGATGGAACTATGTGCATTAAGACATGAGCCCTGAGACCCATAAGAATATATGCATAATAGGGCTCACAGCATAATGCACACAATTCTATTTGGCAGAAATACTTCCATTTAGCCCTTGAGGAGAGCCAAAAGCTAAGAATAAGTGAGAATTGGACGGAATTTTAGAGACACACTTTCTTGTCAAGACTACCAATGACACAGCAGAAAAAAGGAAAAATAATAAAAATATTACTTCAGTAACTTCTGCATCTGCTCTTTATCGTGCATATACATTCTGACAAAGTCTTCTGGATCAGGAGGAATTGTAGGAGGAGGCTTGGGCTGAGGTGGGTCTGCGTCTATTTCTTCTTGTTCCGAATTTGGAACACTTGGTCCATTTGAAGTGGATGGTTCGAATTTAACCTCAACTCTCTTCATTTTGGGTGCAGAAGTGGAAACATTTTCTAATTCCTTTCGTTTTCTACTGGTCGATTCCTTTCCATTTACTTCTTTCTTGATAACCTAAAACATGAATTAAAACTAGATTGAACTGTATGAAGGCTGAAATTGCATGCAAATATAATAAAATAAAAACATTTTCAACTTGGATCAATTAAACAAAGAAATGGACTCAAAATGCCGAATTATTGATTGTTTTATAGTGGCAATCTCTTAATTACCAAGCACCAATTGAAGAACTCAGATGCCTTCGGTAATGTGTTAGATGTGGATAGACACATGTGAGATGCAGTAAAATTATGATTTAAAAAACTGACCATTATGTAAGGCTCTAGAGTGAGGAGTAAAGTAACTACATAATTTGATGTTGAGAATTCATGAGTTTGGTAAAATGCTTTGAAGTTCCTTCCAGAATAGAATACCATGGCCAAAAATTTCAACACATACCTACATCATGCATCGTGCAAAAACCTTAAGTCTGATGCTTATGGCTGTTTGACCAAAACCAAACTCTTGACGATTAATTACATAAAACAGACATATTAATGCACATTAAGAAGATGAAAAACATAGCTAAAATGCAGAAGACGAAGCTAGAAAAGATAAGAAGAACTTGAAACATGTCAAATGCAGATTCATCAGGGTGTCACAAATTTGAAGGCCCCAAAAATTTTCTCAGATCAATGAGATTTGACACATTAAGGAGAGTCGGCAGTCATTTTTTTAAAGAAAATTATCAGATGTCAATTATCATCACGTGAACATCACTGACTCCTTAAGTGTTGACTGATGAAAAATTTGTTCAATTCATTCTGTACACCTATACACCTACGGTAATTTCTAGAAAACTTTTACGATCAAAAGCTCATGACAATTTTCATAAATTTCCCGATTTCAAATTTCCAGCGATGATCTAAAATTTAAATTTTCAAGAAGAACTAAAAAAATAGTCATTCTATTTCAACTACAACCCCCCCCCCCCCCNAATCTTCCAGAACACCATAGATGAAATTCATTCATCCCTGAAGTCTGCAAACATAGAAAGTAGAACTCTTTAACATTTAATAGTGCAAAACATTTCAGAGACTAAGTATGTTCAGCTATCTAGTCTCAAGACACATTCACACCACTCACATGATGGCCCATTTTCAATCTAACATGAGGGCATTACTTTATCCTTACCTCTTTTGGCGTGTGAGTAGGATTGCAAATACCATGAGGAGGAGACTGTGGCTGTTGCTCTATCCTACTAGGTCCTGGTCTACTCAGTTCATCTGGATGTCCTGGACCATTTGGCTCAGGGGCAAGGTTCAAAGCTGATGGTTGTGGCTTTTTTTCTTTCTTACAAACTTGAAATATGTACAGCTCTCCCTCCACTTCGTCATTGCCCACACCGATCCCTAGGGTGTCTCCTGCGCAGACATCTGTGCGCCTATGTGCTAAAATTCTTTGTGAGTTCAAGTATGTCCCGTTGGAACTCTGTAAAAGTCAGAGACGGTATGGTGAGAAACTGCTACAAACAATGGTCAGCCCCGCATGATATGCTTTGACTTATCATTCAATTCATTTAAGATTGCGTCACTGACAGTTTTTTTTTTGGTAATGTCTTCCTCTCCAAGAGAAAATTCAAATGTTATTTCTTGTGGGGGAGGGTAATGGAAGGGAGAAAGAGGCAACACTAAGGCTACATAACAAGCATATGCTGGATTAAACCAATATTGTACATGTGAAATGACAGGAAAATGACCCATCTTAAAAAATCCACGGCGATTGCATTGTACCCCCCACACCAAGTCTCGCTAGAAGGAGAGAAACCAAAGCTACGACAATGTGATTTGGCCCAGCAACTCAGTAGAGTTTCCATTAACACTTCCTGGCGACAGAGCTGGTTTTTGATTGTTTAAAATTAAGGCTCACTAAATTGTTTATCAGCACATATTAATGCTCTATAATGAAACTGATCGAAATTGTGATAACTTACCTTCAGATCTTTAACTTTGATAAATTCATCATCATTTTCACATACTTCAATAATACAATGATGCCGAGAAGAGTATACAGAGGGACAATGAATGCGGCTGCCTTGTTGCCGTCCAACTTTATTCTACAACAAAAAAACATATAAATTATGGAGGATTAAGTACATATGGACGCCTTAAGTCTGCAATTACAAGTCTCGTTTGCGGTGTCTGAAAATCTCCGCCTCTATGTTGTTTTTTCTAGGAGAACAAATGGACATCATTCCTTGAAATTTTTGCATAATTTTCTTCGCACAGAGAAGAAAAATCACAGCAGTTTTAAAGAATTGCCGTTGAGTAGTTTTCCATATAAAAAATAAAGTATGACAGGAAGTCTGTGACGTCGCAAACCGAGTTATGTGATTGCCTATATACTTACACCGTTGATTTCTACTTGGCCCCTCAGAAACTCTAAGAGATTTTGCGAAAAACGAGTGCGATATATTATTAATTTAAATTGTATTTTGATTAATTTTTCAGTTGGTAGGAACAACTTAAAATTACTCTAAAATGTCTTGACTTTAAAAACTGTTTTGAAAAAACCTAGACTCCTCTTGGACCTATTGTATTCTAACAGCAAAGGAATGCAATGGACTGCATAAATTTTGTGTCCTGGTCCACTGCTGCAGCCAAGCCTGTTCCTTGCGTTGCAGTGGAACGCTTGGATCATTATTCCCATGTTCGAACCTGACAAGCGCCATGCACGAAATAACCCTAAATATTTCTCATTGTCGTCTAAACAATTAAAGATGTAGCCAAAGTCAGCAACTAAGTTTTGCAGTTAGCTAAACAGACTTTTTAAATTGATATTAAAATCCATTGGGGGCCTTTAAAAAGGATTCAATTAGGTAAAATAAAGCTATGAGCAAAGCTCGATTCGAAGGTGCCAAAGGACAATTAATTCTCATCATGCATTGTGTAAGAACAAACCATTTAGCCCCTAAAAAATAAATGGTCATTAAATATTGATTAAGCTGGGCAAGTTGACCTGTAAACTTCTGACTATGATTGGAACACTGCGTTCTCCTAAGGTGGTCGTCAAGCGGTTACATGCAATCCTAACCTCAAGCAAAATGCTTCAAACCGCAGATAACCCGATACATGATGTTCCATGGATTAAAAAAAGCCCTTACATCTACGATGAAGGAATAACTGTAAATTGATGACCGCTAAATGATCTGATCTTACCAACCTTACCAAAATGAACAAGCCGAATAGCTTAAAAATTCAATGTAAAATAAAAACAACTTTACAGACACTAATATGACTAAATACTGCAAAGGATAGAACTGTTGAATCAGATTCTTAGAGTTTAACAGCAAAATCGGCAGATTTAAAGGAAGTTTACAGCTGAATTGCAGAATCCGACACCGGGGATATCCTAGAGCAGCGGAGACAAAATTGTGATATGTGACAGTGAGTAATATAGAAGAGATGTCCGATGACAAGTGGAATGAGCTACTAAGGTCAGGTCCAGACTCTCATACATTGGTTGGAACTAGTTCAAAGAACTAGATTTAACTCATCTAAAACTAATTCCTTACAATGGTGCAGTTTGAAGTGTTACAAAAAAAGTTGGGCCAGCTGCGTCAAGCCTCAGTGGTCATCACCTAAATAAAAAGAGAGAAGGTAATCATACAAATCTCTTTGACTTTCAGTTTTATGAGTAGCTCCGATGATCTGAGTAACACTTGTCGATGTTCTTACCTCCCCTGCTGATAGATACACTTCTTCCTGCGTAACGGTGTTCTTCAAAAACCACTCCATAGCCTGCACTACATCCTAAAATTTAATGAAAAAGAACATTGTAGTCTTCGATAAGTAAAAAATCTGATGCACTACGGTTTCATTTCTGCTTCGTCTGAAAGAACCAACAAACAAGTTTGTCCCGATTGTCTCCTGAAGAAACCACACTTTTTTGTTTGTTTACTTTCATGCCTTCATGCAGCATAGAATAGAAAATGGCACAGATAGAGGCAGAGGGGAAAAATTGAAATGATCGAAGCTACCGCATTGGCCATTTACCCAACTACCTAACTACTTCATTTCTGTACCGGGAGATTCAAAAGTGCCGACCGTCTAACTTTTCTTGATCTAAAACTTGTCTAGAATCTGTCTGATTGTGAGTCAGGCGGCAACCTTCCCTTTGGTGACTTAGAGCTCTCATCTACTTAAGCTTCTACTCTGAGAATATCTGCCCCAACAATTATTTAGGGAATGTTAGAGGAATTTTTCTTTTGCAAGAGCTGAAAAAATGCACCTATACACTAGCACACCTAGCCAGTGCGAATGTAAATTAGAATCTCTGGCAGCTCAAAGAGCTATACCCTTTCCGCATAATAATAATTTCCTTTAATAAATTTTACACAATGATTTTCATATTTTGCATCATAGGTGTATTTTTAAAATTGAAGCGATCTGATTGTAACAGCTGTGAAGTAAATATCATATTTTAATTAGGTGGAATTTAACTAAAATTAGCCTAATTGCATACTTATCTTATTACCAAATTTTATATTTCCGTGACTATGAAGTAAGAACATCAAGAAAAATAGGAGATTTTTTCTCCCCATATGGTTGTGTAGAGGATTTCTACCTGCTAGACACACGCTGAGATAAAAACTTGTAGAGACATTTAGCGCACTGACGGTGGAAATACACTAGGACTAACTTCTTTCTCGGCATCTTGGTCTGATTGATTCTGTGAAAATTATAACTGACCACTTATTGCTTGTTTCATTTTCACATGAAATTGTTTTTGACTTGCAATTAAAGCTAAAATTGAATAGTCTGTTGCAAAACCCGCCCATGTCCATTTTTCCAGTCTACAGCATTTTGGGTTGATATATACTTTTCAGAGTAACATATGCAACCATGAAAACTGTGTTAAACTCGGTTTAGGCGGGTTTATCTGGTTCCCAAAATGAGGATTTGCACCACATTCATCTTTCAAATAATGTCTACAAATTTAAAATTTCCTGAAGGGAAAAATTCTGTCAGATTTTCTGTTATCGAGGTTGAAAATATAATTCTTGGTTCTTTGCTTAAGCATGGTATTGAACCATCCTCTACAATTTTATAACTATACTGAATTGGAATTATATTTTCCATTGAAAGAAAAGACAAAGAAAAACTGAAGGAGGAAAAACACTTTTAAAATATAAATTCAGTTTATTACAATGATAAATATTTTTTCAGCAGTGTAAATACATTTTTTATTAAAAACAAATAATACTTTCCATAAGAAAAAGAAACGTCTTGAGTAAATCTTTCATAGTTGACTCCTCTAGGTAAGAATCTACTCCTGTCATTCGTCACCTTTCAGTCAAAGTATCACAAGCGCCATTTACGCTTAGATGCTATGTTGCCAGACATTTCAATGCTCTTTTAATATTCCCTTTGAAACTTTTGTACATACTTACTTCCATGAAAATTTTAGGGATTAATCTTGAAGGCAAAGGAAATATCAGGTGAAATTTCCAAGCATTTCTGTTCTCTTTTTTCCCTGCGAAAATTGAAAAAGTTTGAAAAGATAGGCAACATAATACCTACCTGAGCATAAGTGGCACTTGTGACACTCAGGACAGAAGGTGACGCATCATTCACTACTGGGCACGTTTAAGAGTCCACCTTGACTCTTGTACATATATTGATATAGGTGCTGACTTGTTTCATGAGTTTTTGGTCAGGACCAACTGATATAGAAGTCAAGTTATATTGATCAATCACTTGCGAAACAATATAAAATTAAACAAATTGAGTTCATTCTTGACTTGCATGTATTGCACAGTTTTGCTATCAATAAGTGTGTTCCAAAAGACTGTATGATTATATGTCTTCATTCTAGTAATACGCCAATTCTATTGGGTCGGATTACTTTCAGATTCCAATCTGATAGGGAGATCCAATGTGAAGTAACCATCTTGGCAGACTTATGATTCAAAATGGTCATTGTTTTAATTTTGTAAAATGTGAAAACTTGCTGGAACCAAAGTATGAATGGCCCAGGAGTTTTGGAGAAGCCGAGAGAGCAAATTAGTTTTAAGAGTTACAACTAGGTACTGCTTGGAGTGCTGAAGAAAATCCCTTCTCAGGTCACAACGTCTGAACAAATATGACTGATCAAGAGAAAAAAATGTAAATGATAATCTTGCAGATAAATATTTTTTAAGCCTGTTTTGAATGGGTCTTGTTTGATCATTTTTGACAGGGTTTTAGAATTACTTTAACTTTGCAACTATGATTGAGAAGAAAATTGATGGTTCCCTGCATTATATATATATTAAAAAAAAAAAAAANAGTGGGGGGGGGAGGGAAGGGAGAGCAGGTTACATGCAAAATTAACTATTTCTGCAGGAGGAAAATGATGATAGTCTAATATTTGGCAACAGAAAATTAAAGAATGTACACAAATGAGTGCAAAATTTTGAAACCAATATTTGAATCCTTATTTTTATGAAATTTTCTGTTGATCAGAGAATTTTCAATGGACTAAAGCAGTTGAATTAGTTATTAATAATTGAGTCACGCGGTTTCAAGATGCACTATCTCCTCTTTTCTGAAACTCATGCCTTCACCCAGCTTTTCTAAGTTTTTAATCAAGCTTGACTATTCCGAATGCCATATTTTCACAGGAAAGTGATTCTATACTCTAAATTCTGATTGTAAAATGTAAACAGGGTTGGTCAAAAAGGCCGTTTTTACAAGTATGAGATGAAATGTTTTTTAAACATACAATCAAGTGCGGCCTTATAGCTAGCTCCTTATTTGATCAAAAGAGTTTATAACAATTTTCTGGCACAGAATAGGTGGACGCATGGATTATGGATCCTGTAATGCCCGTCTCACACACAAACTAGAGGCTTTGAAGAGACTCATTGATGGAATTGTTGACTGTTGCCTATTAAAAATCGTCAGCCTGACAATTTTTGAAGGCAACCAATGCGTTTCCGACACATCGTAGATCAGATCTTGAGATTTTCAGGGAATGTTGCACAGAAGTGGCAGAAATATAAAAATATTGGTGCCAGTTTGAGAACTCTAGTTTCTGCGTAGGACAGGCCTATTATGGTTTTGCTATCCATTAAAAGGAATTGTGCTGGAAGACAGACTTGGAGAGTGACTCACACATTCATCCTTATGTGGGTGGCTAGTTTAAAAGGGAGTACAGATGCATTTGACTTTGCTAAGATTGAAGATTATACTGTGCAAAAGATAGTGAGGTTTCCCTCCGTTAATCCAATGCGTTCACTATCAAGATTTTTCTTTTGTAACTTTTTAATAAATTACAAAGAATGTCAAATAGTAAACTAACATTTTCTAATTTTTTCAAGTGTTTTGTGCAAAGTTTAGAGCACTTTTTCCGTAGAAAAAGACCAGCTAAGTTTCACAATCTTAGCAATACCGAATGAACAAGTTCCCTCTTTAAAATTGGCCATCAAAATGTGCAAAGTATTGTTTCCTAATGCTCATACTACAAAACTGGCATCCATTTTTTTCCAAATTTTGTTCACTAATAATGTTTCCTAGAGATAGGATTGTCTCTTGAAAAATACACTTTTCACAAGAAAATCCAATTTGCCTAAAAACTGATTACTCCTGCAGAAGAATGAGAGTTGGAGCTCTGGCCCAATATAGGCAGGGACCATTCCATCCCATTTTAAAGACTCACTTTACTTTTACTTTAGGAGTTCAATGTGACTTCTTTGTTGTCTTCTCATTTCTGCTACTGCGCCAAACTTGAAATAGTTCTGAGCACAAATTAAGACTATTTAATCTTGGTGAAAATTTAAAGGGATATTTTTCCTGTGAATCAAAACAGGTTTAAGAGGTAGCAGAAATTTTTTTAGAAAATTCAACTTTTATGGCCTCTTAATCGTAGAATCTTGAGCTGAGGAGAACGGAGCAGATTGGTTTTAATTCTGGAAAGGTGTAATTTTTTACTTTAGAGGAGCCAAAGCTTGCTTAAACAAATTACTATCCACAATCATCAGTCCGGCTGAAGGTTCTGCAGTTTTAAAAACATTAAGCAGAATACATATAAAAAATAATCATCACAAAAAATGACAACACCCTGAAGGGTGTATTCATGCAGTAACATATGAAATGAAAATATAATAGAGCTTATTACAGGGGAGACAGCAATTGACCAGTATTTACGAACACTTGTTAACAGAAGATTAGGTTATCCTTTCCTGTACTCAATTTTTTCCACCTTCACCTCATCCCCAACTAGTTGGTAGACATACGTTATGACTGTCGTGCTGTGTATGTCCATCAGAACGAACGATGGTATTACATTCCTGAAAATGGAAAAAAACGCATTTAGAAGCAAATCAATTTGAAGAGAGAAATAATCATACATAAGCATTGATCTAGAACTACTTGGGTACATTTTAATAGCTAGACTTTGAAAACGTAGAACTACCAATGTGACACTTCTAATTTCCTCTCATTCTCTATTTTTAAAATGAAACTCGTTAGTATTTTTTGAATTTTTTCCGATGTTTCTTTACCCTGTCACAGTCATCCCATGAAAATTTCAAGCCATGATATTTTGTTGCTTTGCTTTCAATTTCTTGTAAATAAGGTTAGATGAAAAGAATCTTCAATGATAATGTGCTCTACCTCGTAGGACAGTAGTAGAGAAAGTGGAAAAACTTTCGAAAATTTGACAGTTCCGGACCTCTTCGCTATCAAGGCAGTACACTAATCAGTCCTGGCAAGCAACTTGTGCTTAAATGAGCTTTTCCTCACCATTCTGAGGATTTCATTTTTTGCTGATTTTCATGCACAAAAGCTGAGAAACGTCTCTGCCTAAATGACTCTATCATCAAACCGCCATCATTTTTTTTGACATTGCCTTTCAAGGCTATAATAGGAGTAATCGAATAATTTGCTTAATTGGACTAAATTTTGCAATTAGGAACTACAATTTCTGGCTCAGTTCAGAAACAATATACATAATATTAGTTTCCCAATGTACATAAGTGTTTTACGGATAAACCAGAAATAATAGTTTCTAATTGCAAAATGAAGTCCAATTGATAGCATACAAGTAGGCTTACAGCCATGGGTGCATGCCCAGTTTTGATATGCTGCAAGGCTGGAAACAGAAAATCAGAATGCTGCGCTGCGCTTATGATGGATCCATCTTGACCAAAAACACGATCAAATTTGCTATCTAGGTTAGTGTTAATCTTAGATTAGGTATTGCACCAAACATCATACTTATTCAAACTGATTGCAGTGGGCGCACGGGTCGAAAGTATGTTGGAGTTTTTTCGCCTACGTGCCTTAAAAATTCAGCATTAAGCTGAACTTCTCATTACAGAGGGGAAAGCTCATCCAAGCATAGTTTTCCCTCGAAGAGAATATGTGCTGTTTGGTGCAACACTAGTTACGTCCATTCAGGAAGGCAACTGTAGACGCTTTTCGGCCTTGTTGGGCCAATCCTCAGTACAGTGTAGCCTCCTGAATTTTCTACTACCAAGCTTGAGAGGTCGTGAATAGCATATCTCTTTGAGGGAAAACTGTGCTCGGATGAGTTTTTTCCTCTGCAATGAGAATTTCAGCTTAATGCTGAATTTTTAACGCACGTTGGTGAAAAACTCCAACATACTTACAACCCGTGTGTCCACCGCATTCAGTTTGTGTAAAATCGCCTTGCAAGGCTTATGCGCACCTGTTTGGATAATCACTCACTAGATGGCGCAAGTTTACTTGCCGCCAGCGTTCGCCTGCCCAAGTCTCAAGCTGGTTTTCACGACCTTTCGAGCTTGGTAGCAGAAAATTCAGGAGGCTGCACTGCACTGAGGATTGGCCCTACAAGGCCGAAACGCGTCTGCAGTTGCCTTCCTGAATGGATGTAACTAGTGTTGCACCGAACAGCATATAACTTTGAGGGAAAGCTGCGCTCCGATGAGATTTTCCCTCTGTAATGAGAATTTCAGTTTAATGCCGAATTTTTAATGCACGTTGGCGAAAAACTCCAAGATATCATACTTATTGAGGAAAAATTGTGCATAAATGAATTTTTTCACCTTCCATTATGAGAACTTCAGGTATAAGCTAAATTAAACTGATCCATGAGTGAAGATGGTCAAAACATCACCTCTGTGGCAAATCATACCCAATGGTAATTTTGTCAGTTTTTGATGAGATCCTTTCTTCTCTACTTCCAAAAATCTCTTCAGAACCATCTTAATGTTTTACTCTTTAACAAGATTTTACCAAGGTACTTCCCTGCTTTGCCGGTCTTCAATTGACTTCTGAAACTTCAAGCGATACTAAAATGCATCCTTAGCTAAGTAACATTGATATTATTTGTGAGGCTTTCATGAAAGTAAATATGCTCTTGATTCCAACTTTTCTGTGAATGGTAGAAGATGAGAAATGGATGAGGACTTACGTTTCTAAAGGATGATAAGCACCAGTGGCAGATCCAGGATTGATGTAGAATTTATTTTCATGCTCGTATGCTTCGTATTTGTGCGTATGGCCGGAAATGAGAATATCTACATCTAGCTGTCGTTGAGTCAAAGCTAAGGATTCAGGATCACCCCATGGAACAGTGCCGTGTCCGTGACATAGGCCTATTCGGAACTGGCCGACAGTAACTATTTTTTGCTCAGGGTAATTGAAGTTCTGTCAAAAAGATGGAGAAGATAGAAAAAGTTGTGAAAATCACTTATTTAAGAACACTGTGGCAGGGAGATGCCTCATGCCATACACATAATTGAAAAAAGTAAAAAGTCTTGATATCTCATCGACTACCTATTTTATCATTGAAATAAAATACAAAATTTCTAGTCTAGGCACATTTTTCAAACTCTTGATACTCCAAAACATCAGTACCTAGGTTGTGATATAACGAAGCAAAATTGGGCCAAAATTTTGGCCAGATCTTGGGTTTTGTAGACTCGAGTGTTAATTTGTAATTCGAAAAGATGTAAGTTTGAACTAAAAGAATATCCTCCAATTTAAAAAATTTTAAGCGTAACAGTAGAGCATGCAAGTATTTTCTTTGCGCATCATAGTTTTTGAACTTTTCATAATTGCAAAGAGAAGGAATCATTACTAATGAGTATTCAAGTGGAATGCACATTGAATGGGGGTGCATGTTGAGACAAAAACACGATGGAAGGGCGGCAGCATTTGCATTTGAAATGAAACCAAGTATCACCATATTGGGGGCTAATGACTAAGGGTTGATTGACTTTGGTGAGCCTAGGTTTGTGAGAGAGTCAATTTACTTGCATTTCAACACTTGAATGAGGAAGGTTGATTGTAATTATTTGTGTACATTTTAAACTGAAGAAAATAAATAAATTGCATTGAATTGAAAATTGAATTGAATAGTACTGCAGGTTAGTCACTGGCTCTGCCCCTAACCAATAACTTTAAGTCAAGAGGACTATGAAGGGGCAATGAAAAACAGCAACTAATTATTACCTCATCAAAATCCCCTCGAACAACGTGGACATCACTGGCTAGCGTTTTAAGATAATCATAAGACTCTTTGGTGCATAGATTGCCAGTACATAAAATATGCTGGATTCTTCCTGGGACTAATAGCTTCTTGAATTTACTAGGCAGACTGCTGCAACGATGAGGAATGTGTAAGTCCCCTATCACTAAAACCAACTGCAAAAAAAAGAGGAGAAATTGAATTTTTGACATATTATATGAGTGGATTGAATTAGAGTAAGAAAAACTACTAACTTGAGGCTTGCACTAAAATTTTAGGTGTTAGTTATTGTTATTAGGTGGTGTGTGTTTTTTGGGTGGCATATGTTTCATAATTAATCATCAACACAGCCATCATTCATCATTATCATTCATCATTGTCGGCCTTCCGTGGTGTAGTGGTCGTAGTGTTGGCACTGTAACCAGGAGGTCCCAGATTCGATTCCTGACTAGGCAACCGCCGCCCAAGATTCTCCCATAAGCCGCTGCATTAAAAGATGCAGTTTGGTTTAAACTTTGCTCACACTTTTTGACAAACAAGAGGCACAGAATGGCCCGTTCATGGATTGACTTCATGGGCGCCCCAGTACATTGTGACTCTATTATAGCACATGATTTGAAGTGAAAAAATATTGAGAGGGCTGAATTTTGGGATTTGATTAGAAAAGTCCAAGAATGTTTTTTGTTTGTTCAATTAGATTAATACATCTGCTGCTATAAATCTGCAACATCCTATCAAAAACTGTGCTGCCAGGTTAAAAATAAGAGAGATACAGTTATTGATTTCTGTACCGCATGTGGAAAAGACGAATCACCTTAACACCTCAATTTTTTCTAACACGGCGCTCAAGCGCCTTGTCCTCCAATCCCTTAATTTGCCTTCCTTTTTTTGTTGGAGAGTTATGACATACTAGTATTCCATCAGTATTAGCTTGATATTTCAATGATTTCTATTTCCTCTCATGAGAGGTAATTAGACAGGTGCTCTCTGGGGAACCAATAGTATCTTGATTCCTCTGAAATGTTAGGTTCCAAATGGGCGATGTTAGAGCTTGCCCATCATATAGTAAGACAAACGTCAATCTCTGACTTAGCGCCACTCAACAGGTTAATACATGCAGTCAGATGGCACCACTGATGAGAGGTTACATAAACAATACTTACTTTGATGTCTCAACATACGATGCGCGAGCTCTAAGCCATCTCCTCAAGCACCTTGGTTGTTGGAACATAACTTTATCTTATGTTCATTGTTGAGGAAGTTTCTTGGCGATATCAAGAGGTGTTTAGCCTGTGTCATGACATTAGAGTTATTCATCATGAAAATATAATTGTGTTGATGTTGGGTTCGTCAGACATCTGAACACAAAAAATAAAAAGAGGTAAAACTTACTCACCATTTTGTAGGCTTTTGCAAAGAATTACACCTATATATAACACCTAGACTATGCACGAATCATAATTGAAAGATGAGATTGATAAGAAAAGCTGAATAGTACTTATCGTAAAGTATGTAACAATGTTGACTTTTCCTTTCTAAAGCACAAATTTTGAAAAAGAAACAACAGTGGGAATGGGCAGATTTTGAATACTACGACTATTATATGTAAATCTTCTCGGATTAGGAGGAGGCCGAAGTGCAAAGGCGAGCACAGTCGGAAAATAATTTTTAGTAAGAGGCAAACAAACGAATGACTTGTCTTGTGCCTAGTTTCTAGTAATCACTAATCAGGATCAGGTAATCGGGTAATCAGTAACAGTTGGATGTTTGTTTACTTTCGGCAGACAAAGAACATTGAAGCCAAAAACGGAGATCGCCGCGAGGGTATGCGCCGGCAACGTCCCCTAGCAGAGAAAGTTCGCACTATATCGTTTTGAGTAGGTATGCTATATGGTATCACGCGAAAATGAAGGAAAATCTTATTGTTAGCTTTTCATCAGTCTCAAATTACTGACGTTTCTTAATAAATGCGCACAATTCGGATCATAGGCGTACTTGAGTTATTTTGTTCCCGCTTTCCCCTATAGTGGAATACACACCCTCCTCCCCAGTTCAGAGGGGGGTTCGGGTGGCCATCCCCCGGGAAATTTTGAATGAACGCAAAACTATTTGAACGCATTTTGAGGCTTCCGTGACGAAGATTTTCCATCAATTTCTGAGGAATAATTATGTTTTTTTTTTTTTTTTTTTTTTTTTTTTTTTTTTTTTTTTTACAGTCAGTACTTGATTCTTTCGAATTGTTGCATTCAAAACGTCTAGAAATTTTTTGCAATTTCAACTCTATATTTGACCGCATTTTGAGGCTTCCATGATGAAAATTTTAGAAAAATCTAACTGAATGAACACTGAGTTTTCATTTATGACTCTACATTAAGAGAGATAATCATTCTCCATACAAACGATTTTTCCCACCATCCAGGATTTCTAGAGGAGGGAGGGGGGGGGGCAGATTTTCAATTGTAATGGAGGCCAGGCCCTCCCTGGACACCCCCTCCTTCGTACGCCCGTGATCAGGATTCAGGTATAGGTATATTTTGAGTTGTGGTATCACCTGAAAATGAAGGGAAATGTTAGCTTATAGCCTGTCTCACATTACTGACGTTTATAAATGGAGGCACTATGCTCTGATCATTGAATAGGGAAATCAAGCGCGTGACTTTTGAAACTCTGGAGTAGGTATGTGATGTGGTATCACGCAAAAACGAAGGGAAATCTTATCTTTTCAACTGCCTCAACATACTGATGGGTATGAATGTAGGCATTAAGTTAAGTTTTCATCGTTTGATAGAGAAATCAAGCGCTTAAATGAAAATGGAAACTTCGAATCACTTGCATGGTGACAAATCAATTCTGGGAAGCAACACCCTTCCCCAGCTTCATCGCCAGTCATGATTCGTAAATCTATGCAGTTTTCAAAAAGCTGTTCCACAATCAGTCGTGTTCCGTTTAATAATCCCTGTAAAACATTCAGACTCCTAAAAAGCAAAACCTCTCCATGTCACAACGTCAACTCGTGTAAGGGTAAGCCGCTCACATCGATACTATCCCAAAATTCCCTCATTATCGACAATAAGCCTGTTAGCACTACGGTACGTCCTTCATTGGTCTAGGAGTATAGAAATTACTTTGTCCAAGGCCGGACTGGCTCACATCTCAGGCAGGGCCGGATTAAGGGGGTGGCCACATGGGCCGCGGCCCATGGCGGCAAAATTAGGGGGCGGCAAATTTTGTAATTTTTTTAAATGCAGGCACACAAAAAATCGGATTCAGAAAAAAATTGCGAACAAGAAAAGGTGACAAAATCTCTAAAATCCTGAGAGTTCATTAATTTCTAATTTTGTCATATTTCGGTGATACAAAAGACTGCGCACCTTTAATTAGTTGAGTTAAGAGAGAAACCAAACACGTAATTTGGCCTGGAGCGGCGCAGCGCAAAGAGATATGATGACGAGGACTTAAGATGAAAAGAAGAAGCCCTCGACGCGGCGGTCGGCATGTAACACTTATTAGCGCCTACGAGACTGCATGAATACTTCACGCATTGCGTCAAACACAGCACGGTCAACAGCGGTCGGCGCGGCGTGAAACGCACAGTGCCTACAAGACTACATGAATACTTCACGCGTTGCGCCGAGTGTGGTCAGCGCGGCACAGCAGCGGAAGTTAAACTTATTAAACCACATTTATGTTTGTTCTTTCTTAATTTTTTAGTTCATTTCTTACAAATGAAAGGCCTTGACCCCACAGAGATAGGTTTACGGAACTGAACTTCCGAGCGAAGTTCCGTGAAATTTTGCTAATAAAAATGACAATGCTAACGCAAAAAATGTGTCCAAAACGAGTGAACGCGTCTTATGCACCCTTCTCCCTCAGGCACGTTCACTTGATTGTTTTTATTGATGTTTCAAAATGGATGAGAAGAGGGCGGCAAAATACAGGCGGCCCATGGGCGGCAAGTAGGTAAATCCGGCCATGAACTCAGGGCGTAGATTCTTAGTCGACTTAGGGGGCGTAATGTGATATTTTACCCGGGCGGTATGGGGGTGGATGAACAATGCTTCTCTTATGGGAGAGAGCAAATTTTTCTAAATGAACCAATGAACCATTTAAATTTCTTACTTTTAAATCCTTTGAAACTTTCTGTGTGTCGAAAAGAACGTTTAGACATTAGCATCCAGGGTTTCGATTTTGCCGAATTTGTGTTCTTTCATTTTTACAGTTTACTCTGCATCAGCCATTTTTACACGCGAATCTATACCACTAGATGGCTTGTTACATCGCTGACTTCAAAAATCATTTAAAAATATAAAAACGCAAATTCAGCTGAATTGAAACCCGCTTGACGCTAATTTCTAAACGTTCTTTTCGACACTCAAAAAGCTTCAAAGGATTTAAAAGTAAGAAATTTAAATGATTCATTAAGAAAAATTTGCTCTCTCCCATAAGAAAAGCATTATTTCCGACATTTCTGGTTTTCGCGGCAGTAATTAATGCTGACGTCATGCGCAGAAGATTCTCATTTCAGTTTCAGGAATGACTGACCTATATGGATGGATCTTGATATCGACGATGAAATACTCCCAAACCACGTATCTCGTTGACGGCGCATGCTTTAAATTCTCCATTCCTGTTTATTTTTTGAAAGGAGATCAAATCGACATCCTCCATTGAAGTTTCCTCAGAATTTGCTTGGCACAGAAAAGAAAAATCACGGTAGTTTTTGTATACTTCCTCGTTTAAGAAATGAAGTATGACAGGAAGTTTGGAAGATCGCAAACCGAGTTACGTGGTTTGGGAGTTTCACCAATCATTGTACCAAGTCCCCAAGTGACCTCGGGGGTTGGGCCTCGTCGCCTCGTAGCGGTCATGCGGGGCGTACCTCCTAGTTGTCATTAACGTCTTGAAAAGACAAACGATGCTTTTATTTGTTTTGCAGCTTGCAGCAAGAAAAAAGGTATTTCCAAGCGGCAAACTTGAAGGAGTTAAAGAGACGGCTTTCGATGTTTTGGGCCGGGCAAAAAGGGAGACTTTTTTGGAAACGCGAGAGAAGCTCCTCGAAACCTGTCCTAGAATCGATCTTTTGTTCAAGTGACGAATTTTTGTCATTCCAGATCATTTCGGGCACTCGCGAAGAGAGGGAGGTCCAGTAGCGTGGCGTGAATGATCGATTATCGATATTTCCCCATTTGAATCCGAGGTAAAGAATCGATCATCAAGGTGTTAGCTGCCAACACCCTGTTAATCGATCCTTTTCCATAGCAAATGACAGATCAATCGATGTATCGCAAAGCACGCCACGCTACGGAGGAGGTCGATCCAGCTAAAGTGGTTCGATCTTTCAGTGATCAAGTAGACCGATTTTGAGTATTTCCAGTCCATTGGAATGCTGAGTTAAAAGCAATTTTTTCCTTTGGAATGTATGACATACTCATCCGGTGCGATGACTTTTATCTCACTCTTTAAATTTTTCATGCGAGCGATTAAGTATTATTCATTCGCCAAATTTTAATTTTCATGAGCGGGAAGTTTGGAAGTTTTAATTTATATGTCGAAAAACGTTTTAATATCTCAGCTACCTATGAGTTACTTTCGGTAATTTTTGCCACAAACCGTGTTGTACGTGAAATTTTGACGCGAGAAAACATATTTTCAAAAATGCTTAAAATTACACCTTATATCTAGTGAGAATTGCCGGGTTCTTCATAAAGTATTGTACCTATCCGAGGTACAAGATGAAGCTGCAAGTACGGTAATTAGTAAATAAAGGTAATGGTTGGTAATGATAGAAGTAAATGGATGATTACGAGAGCTGAAAAATATTGTATCTCCTTATCTTATCGATAAATCGACTCTCAGATAAAACTATATTGATTAATTTCAAGACCGCTGCATGTTCAATCTCGTCTTGCACCGCAGAAAATTTTCTGCGCGTAAAATTTTATTACCTACTAGGAGGCGAACATATTCGTTTATAATTTGAGAAATTCAACATAATTATTTATCCCTATTAAAAATCATAGTCCTAAAACTTCATGTGAGAATATTAGTCACTTATATCTTATCCATAAAGAATGTGAAAACGAGAACCTTTGAGACACTGCCTTTGAGTTGCAGATTTTTTTCAGTTTCACAGTCGGAGCGAGTAAAATGATGAGCCGCGCAGGACGACTTGCGAAGTGGTGTGAATCGTGGCTCCTCTGACGAAAGGACGAATTTCGATTTGGACATGAGCCGCAGAAATCACAGAGTTAAACGGTGGACTGGGCTCACCTGGACACTGAGATACGCCCTTATGTCAGAGAAGCGCCGAAATGTGAGATGATGGAGCACACTCAGACAATAATATATCACTACAATCCGCGCCGACAAATCTTATGCCGTTTTACGAGAAAGAGCCGTAGGTGGAGTCTGGGATGAGCCTCGAAATGTATAAGAGCATATGCCATCCGTGGCTCATTCAGGAATGCACTTACGGGTTTCTTCCGTACCACGGCCGAAGAGGCAGAAAACACGTTCTACAATCGGTATTAATTAGAAGCGCTCTCTAACAGAATCATAAGTTGAGAGTTTTTAGAGCGACGAAAAAGAACTCGAATCCAAAATACGAGTTTTCGGCTTTTAAATGGGTCGCCACTCGGCACTCGGCGGTCGCTGAAACCAGATTGCGAGGAGCGTGCGAGGCGGGGGTTGGTGGGGAGTATTTTTTACACGTGCTTGTAGCTTAACGTCAAAAGACTTGTAGCAGTGAATTAATTCATTC